TCGCCAATAGATGTCGGGAAGAGTTGATTATTGAAAACACGAATAAAACAACATTTTCTGAAAATAAATCGTAGCTAGATCGATTTATCGCCCCCGAAATCCCCTGTATACTAAATTTTATGAAAATTGGGAGCCGTTTCCGAGATTCAGATTATATATACAAGAATTGCTTGTTTAAAGGCATAAGAAAGATATCTAGTTCCAATTGTTTCACAGAATATAGCCATTATATTATTTTAGGCATAAAACACAAGATTCCTCTTCGAAGCCCGTCAGCTTTAACAAAGTTATACGGCATGTTTGTGTATGTAAAATAAACAGCCATCTAAAAGTTTAATTAATATTCTGACAGGTAAAACCTACGCTCTTATATCGATGAAGACCACGCTGGTACATTTATTACGACGATACAAAGTTACTGCAGATATATCTAAGATTGAATTCAAATTGGATGCGCTCATGGTGCCTTCAGACAACTGCTACGCCAAATTTGAGTCAAGAAAATGAACAATGGCGTAACCGGTACTACCCCTCGCCAGGAACGTTCGTCATGATTTCTGAAATTTGTATTAATATTAATTGGTAATACAAAAAAAACTAAATGGGTTTTTTTTTATTAATTAAATTGTTGTAAATGTCCTGCCTGAATTTTAATACAGGCTCTGAATCAACCTCAGTGACCACTCGTCGATCGCAGTCATAACGTAAATAACATAATAAAAACGCAACACGAGGTAGCTCAGCTGATGCTGTTCGAAGTGGGTGCATCAAGCAGCGCTGATTTCACTAGTCGACACTAATCATGCCACAAGAACTCTGTTAGCTAATATTGTACACCTACCCCCTCATTGGTATTCACAGGAGTTTTGTTTCGGTTGGCCTCAGATTTCTCGTCATGTGTAAAGAAGTTTATCTACAATTTCGATGATAAACGCAATTAAATAAATACCCAATAAATTAATTATTTTGCTAACTGTTTTGTGAATTATTGAAATTTTGTGAATATGCCAAGAAAGTTTAAAAACGACCCTATCTCATTTTGTTATATTGGTGGTGAATTTACTTTCAAAAAATAAAGATGAAATTTCATAAAACTTGCATTGAAGTGTTACTAGTATGCCCACTGAGTTTCTCGCCGGATCTTCTCAGTGGGTCGCGTTTCCGATCCGGTGGTAGATTCAGCGAAGCGAGAGCTGATTCATGGGTTAGGTTGCACGGCGAACTCTTTGTCGGGTTCGACGAGTACGGTTACCGAGGTCTCTAAGCCTGCTCCTGGTGTTAGAGCTGAAGGCGTCTAATGCAAAGGTTAATGGATCTGATGGATCCGTAAGGACGTGTCTAGGACGTCGACGGTGACTGGCTCCTGCGTGATCAGGATTCGGGGAGTAGTCAGCGGCGGCAACGATAAGGCGATTATCATGACGGCTGGAATAGCCTCTCAAGGCTACCAGCTTAGGTAGGAAAAAAAAGTTACTAGTATTTTGGTTTTAATGTGGCTCAACCATTGATTCAAAGGGCTCAATTATATGACAAGAGAAATTGTCATATAATTTGTTGTTGAACATTCATCTCTTATAGAGCCGTCTAGAGTAAGTACTTCTTCGCCATTGCATATTAAATTAGGCTTATTAAAATTTTTGTAAAGGCGATGGATCGCAATGGGAGCGTGTTTTTGTATTTCAAAGAAAAAATCCCTAAAATAAGTGATGCCAAGATAAAAGAGGGTATTTTCGTTGGATCTCAAATCCGATAGTTAATAAAAGATCCAGTTCTTGAACAATTATTATTGTTGATTTGAATCTCGAAAAAACGAGCATAGCATTTCTTTGTATAATGGTGTTGCAATGTTCTTGGTAACTGTAACAGTGATAGCTACGTAGAGCTTTTTAACGAGTTATTATTGGCTATTACCAAAATTCCTTGAAAAATTCCGATTTTTTATTAAAACAATGTGAGCTGATGGATAAAAAAGTCTGTGCACTTACTTATACAGCGTTTTTCCTGGTAAAACGTGGGCTTCAATTTCTGTGGCTGGCCACTTCACATCACCACTCGACAATTCTCGGAGACGGAGGTGATTGCGAAGCATAATGCGGTTGATAGTAATATAATATAGTTGATAATCCTACTTATTTGCGAATAAGTTACATTTACTTATGCAGCGGTTTACGCAAATAAATTTTTTCACTTCTGCCTCTTTTGGCGGTTTTTTTTAAGGGATTTTATTACCTGGTAACTAAGACCTTTAGGTCATGTCTTATTTTTATTTACATTCTTATTTTTATGAAAAATGATAAAATGGAGTGAAATGAAATGAAGATGGTTAATTTGAGACATTAATCAACTGGGATGAAATTAAATGTAGTCAGATGAGATGTTATGGGATGAAATATAATCTCAGTAAAATGGTGCTCATTTACCTACTGAGATTTGTTCAGTGGACTTTTTGGAGGATCCCGAGAAGTTACGTTCAGCGGCTTTGTTTCATTTTCCCACATTTTTGTACTTTCACAGATCCTAAACAGTTAATAAACCCCCGTTATTACACATTTAAACCTGAAGAAACACTAAGTACACAAAATAAAACAAATCGCACAACTTCACTCCTCGCGTTCCCGCCAAAAAGTCTTGGCGGTAATTGAATAATGTCACAGATTATGCAGTACTAGGCAGCGGTCTCAAAGAAGGATTTATAGGTAGATAGCCTTTTTCAGCGGGTCGCGATTCCGATCCGGTAGTAGATTCATTCGCGAAGCAGCTAGGACTAGCTGCTCTTGACTCATTAGGTCTCCTTTGAAGGCCCTTGGGAAGCTGTTAGGAAATCCCATCCCTTCCGGCTTAGCCTTTGATCGACCACCAGTCCTAGTGAAACTGGGAAGACCTTCAAGCCACCAATAACCATTCATTCATAAAAAAAATAGATTGCCAAAGTTGTGTTACAATGAATTCTAAAATACCTGTTCACTGTCTCTGAACGACAGGACAGTCATATTGAAAAACTATGTACGAGACGAGGTCACTCGTTTTAACAAAACAATACCTATGAGAAACGAGCATTGTTAAGTTTTTCTAATGCAGCTTTTCGTTTTGCCTTTATTTGTTTAATGTAGTCACATTTCTTATATATTTTTGAGAATCATCAAATATTAATTGTAATTATAAGAATGGTTTTTCTGCTAGTGCCTGCCCTACAAACCGAAACACATTACTGTTTCACGGCAGAAATAGGCAGGGTGGTGGTACCTACTCGTGCGGATTCACAAGAGGTCCTACCACCAGTTTCGTTTTGCTTTTATTTGTTTTAATGTAGTCACATTCCTTATATATTTTTAAGAATCATCAGGCTTTTGTGCTAGTATTGCGCATTGCGAGCCCGCACAGACAGCCATTACGTCCTTACTATTTCTTCTGCCAAGTATTCATGTGTTCCGGTTTGAGCCGTGGGAGAGCCATTATGTCACACAATTAAGGTTTGAATATCGAGTCTCAAGTCGACAACGGCATTACCGAGATAAATGTTGCTTGTGCCACTCTTTTGTCTATAAACTACTGGCTGCTTCATAAATCCCTTGGTGATAACGTAAAATCAAAAACTAGCGAACACAATGTCGTATAATAGAGGATATTCCCGGTGTTATCTGGGTCATTTTAATTATCATGATAAAAAGTATCCAATGTGCTAATCTAAATTACAATTTATATATTTCAGTGGTTTGACCACAATTTTATCCAAATCATTTGGCTTATTAGCCGATCTTCTGAACAAAATTCCAACTAACTATACTTGAGACCTTAGAACTTATATCTCAAGGTGGGTGGCCTCTTTACGTTGTAGATGTCTATGGGCTCCAGTAATCATTTAACACCAGGTGGCTGTGAGCTCGTCCACCCCTTTAAGCAATAAAAAAAACCATAACTTTAGTGACGACATTTAATTAATTCATCAATGCCATCTCTATGAGGCTGGCGGCATTCCAAGTAGCCAGAGCTTAGCTGAAATAGCCCATTAGCCTACCGGCATTAGATGGGTTGGTTAGGTGGGTGTTGAACTGAATAGACTGTTCCGAAATAGCGTCCTTCCCACTTGTTTGATTACGGAACGTCAAAAGTGTCAACGTGCGACGTCCGCTATGACACTTTTTCCCCTTTCAATTCCAGCCGCCAAGAGCGACGCATCGATTTCATATTACTGTTATATTCAATATTTAATATGTCACATAAGAATTAATAAATATCTAAAAGCAATAAATACAGTCCACTCTCATTTACCACAACGCTACACCACTTGACACATAGAGGGACGCCGCCGCACGTATTTGATTCTTCGTTAAAGGTCATAGGTGTTAGATAGGTCGAAAATAATGTAAGGTCAAAAATGAACGTGAAATTAAACCGTAAAATAATTTTAGTTTTGCCTAAGAGCCGCGGGAACCGAGGAAAAAACTATTGCAAATAATATTATAATCATTTTATGAAATTCTCATGTTTTCTTTCATTCTGTGCGTTAAGTGGGAGTTTTTTAACGTTCTCGATAGCGTAAAATTTAATTCAAATTTGAATTAATTATTGAAAAATTCGCTATAAGCATTAAAAAAATCGCACTAAGAACACTGTACACGCCGTTTACGTATTTTATTTATTAGTGTATGTGTGTACAATGTTAAAATCGAGATAAAAAAGCGTGAAATCATAATACTATAATATATAGATAATTGAGAAGTTATGCCAAAAAACAAAAAATACAGCGAAATGGAGCGGCAATATAAAAGTGTTTATGAGTTTTTTCTATATATAATACCATCGAATGCGCGTTACCTCGTACGTTTGAGAATAAATTATACAAATTCAAAATAACCGTGAACGTTTTCACGTCTATCGAAATATATTAAAAAGATAATAATAAAAAAAAACCTCACAATATCTGTTTTGTTGTAACGTGATATAAGACGGATACATCGGTCCTTAAGCACAGTTTCATTTCTCAGCTCTTAGATATCAAGATGTTTATTCTCATTATCTCAGTTGTTGTTTGTGTCGTGCTACTGTTCTATTCGATCAAGAAGAGCAACAGCAATGTTCCTTTGTGTGATAATTATCTGCCTGTAATCGGACATACACACATGCTAATTGGGGGCGGTAAAAGTAGGTTTAAATTGTTTTTCGACTGGCTTTTGCGAGTCGGTAGACATTTTAATTTTTTATTTATTACGCGTGATGGTAAGTCGTTTCCGTCACTCATCAGTTCTAGCAATCCCGTAACCTTGGTAAAACAGCTGCCGAAAAAGCAGCCACTGCCTAAAAAATTAATACCGGCTTAATCCGTTTATTATTTTGTCACATATCTTGGATTATAAGGTCGAAGACTCAATTGCGTTCTTTTATTGTTCCTACTCAAATCATCGCCCCGTCATTATAAAGCTTGCCTGACGAAGTCAGGGAGCTGCTTAGAGCCAAGAACGCTTCGATCCGCGCCTACGATAGGTATCCTACCGAGGAAAATCGTATTCGAATGCGTGCCCTACAACGCGACGTAAAGTCTCGCATTGCCGAAGTCCGAGATGGTGGTATTACCTTTTATGAGTCCGCACGGGTAGGTACCACAAACTTGCCTATTTCTGCCGTGAAGCAGTAATGCGTTTCAGTTTAAAGGGTGGGGCAGCCGATGTAACTATACTTGAGACCTTAGAACTTATATCTCAAGGTGGGTGGCGCATTTACGTCGTAGATGTCTATGGGCTCCAGTAGCTACTTAACACCAGATGGGCTGTGAGCTCGTCCATCCATCTAAGCAATATAATGATATTAGTGAAAACACTATTAATATAAGCAATAGGTCCGTACCAATACTTACAGAAACTGTCCATTTTGCTGCCAACAAACATTTTGTGTGTTGACCGTTTAAATTGAAACAATAAGCTTGAAAACATAGGCAGATAGTAGTTTCTACCACAATCACATCTGTGCTCTCTTCTGGCTTCGAAGACAAAAATAATACGGACATTCTCTGTAATATTTTTAGGATAATTGATATCAGCGGATTTGCGGAAATGCGCCAAAATTCATTATTGAGTACTTTTATAGGTTTATAATATTTACTAGTACTGTTTAATGCATTGAGAATTGTGTATTTTATTCTGAATGAACAAAAATAACTTTTCCTTCTATATTTTCTTTACACAATTTTTTTTTTCAGGCTTACTGCGAACTGTGAAATATGCATGTGAAGAGGCAAACAAGAAGGGAGGTGTCGTGATTTTACAGTTAGGACTTGAAAATTACTATGGTAAATTAAAAATTGATTTTTTTTGTGTATAACTGGATGATGAATATAACTGGAACCATTCTACTAATATTATAAATACGAAACTTTGTAAGAATGTTCGGATGTATGATTGCTACTCTTTCACGCAAAAAGTACTGCATGGATTTTGATGACACTTTATAATAGTATAGCTTCCACATCAGAATAACGCATAGACTATAATTTATACAGATTTAGTGTGAATTACGTGTCAATAATAAGTGTCAAGGAAGTAGAAAAAAATATACCATCTGCGAGGTATTCTGGCGTGCGCCGCAAAACGTTGGAGTTACACGTATACAATATACACAATGAAAATGTTTATGTTATACATACATATACGTCCTACAAAACAAGTCCGAGACAGCATATATCCATCTAATATGTGTAAGCCATAATCACCAAAATAGTGAACGATAAATACAATAAAAAATTATAATTTATTTCTAACTCACATTTAGTGTTACGCGCTGTGGTTCGAGATAAATAAAAATTCTACCGGAGTACAACTTAAAACTGTATTTATCATAGAACACTTAAAACACTTCACAAATACTTTAAAATTCTCAATTCGCTTCTTCCGCTTCGCTTCAGGTGATCCGTTCGCTGTTTCGCTTCGAGTAGTTCCGATTACTAACTGACTGCGTGCCATCTCTGCAACGCTTTTACCTATATAGTCCATACGATATCCCTAGAATCGTCGACCACATTCCTCACAACTTGAGTACCTTCGATGTGTGTTTTCGCTATCTGGCGTTGTACTTATCGAGCGATCCTTCGATATTCGGCTATTCGGCGATAGATGGCGTTACTCTTACCGGCGTAACACTGGCACCTCCTTGGACATGCTCGTCCCGGGCATCGTTAGACCCGTAACATTTCGCCAATCGATCTACACGTACAACTTTAGGCACGCCTGGTAGACCTTTCTAAATTCGATACGTGAGTCATTAATTTTAGTCATAATCCTATATGGTCCATCCCATTTTGCCTGTAACTTAGGAGACTTCACTATGCTTCGAAAGCATGGGTTGTGTAGCCACACTAGGGAACCCTCCGAAAATCCCTTCTGATTTGCTTCCCTATCGTAGTGGAACTTCATCCTCGAAGAGGCTTGTTGGCTTGACTGTCTGACATCCTCATGCACTTCATTTATCTTGCTGCGCAAATCATTCGCGTACTCTGTCACACTACGAGAAACGTCAGGAGGAGTGCCGATAATTAAATCCAGGCAGTCTCAATTCTCTTCCAAAGTTTGCGAAAAACGGCGTCACAGTCCTATTCTCCACAACTTTCGCCAGATATCTCTCCAATGTTTGATTACAACTTTCGACCATTCCATCAGATTGTGGGTGATAAGATGTAGTTCTAGTTTTGTGGATGCCCAAGACCTGCAAGGCTCCTTTCCATTCATCGCTAAGAACCGTTCTCAGCATCCGCACGGGCACAGCCTCCTTAGCCTCCTTTCTAGCGCAGTGCTTATAGTTTTCAACGCAAGGTCTTCTAGACAGTGCGTCCGCGTTACCGTGAGATCTTCCACTGCGATTTTCAATGACGAAGTCGAACTCTTGTAGTAGTTCAATCCATCTCGGGGACCTTCCGGGTTCACAAATTCCGCAAATGGAATTTTCGTCCTAGCAAGTAACTATTAAAATGCTGTAATGAGTTTACTACAGCCAGTAGCTCCCTTCTCGTCACGCAGTAATTTCTTTCCGGTTTGGATAAAGATTTGCTGAAGTAGGCTATCACCACCTCTTGATCTCCTTTTTGTTAAGACAACACGCCGCCTATTCCACTATTGCACAGACGCTTCTTTTTTTTTCCACTTTTCGCTCGCTCGTCCACCAGGTGTTAAGTGGTCACCGGAGCCCATAGACATCTACAACGTAAATGCGCCACACACCTTGAGATATAAGTTCTAAGGTCTCAGTATAGTTACAACGGCTGCCCCGTCTTTCAAACCGAAACGCATTACTGCTTCACGGCAGAAATAGGCGGGGCGGTGGTACATACCCGTGCGGACTCACAAGAGGTCCTACCACCAGTAATTACGCAAATTATAATTTTGCGGGATGGATTTTTATTACACGATGTTATTCCTTCACCGTGGAAGTCAAGCGTGAACAATTGTTAAGTACGTATTTCATTACAAAAATTGGTACCCGCCTGCGGGACTCGAACACCGTTGCATCGCTATATACGAACGCACCGGACGTCTTATCCTTTAGGCCAGGACGACTCTCTATGTTCTTCTCTCTCTGCAGTTCCCGGAATGCGCTGTATTATGTAGTACATATTTCGAAGCCGGCAAAGCGAGCCGTTCGTATTTGGCAACGACTTGACGACGGTAGACGACGGTAATCACTCGCTACCACTTAGGTCACCTTCGAATGAATTAAAAAAAAAAAACTAAGCCAACAACGGTGGGTCATGAACTAATTTTCCCATTCGTGATAAAAAAAATCTGTAAAATGTGAAACTACTAAAAACTAGACTAAGACGTGTAAAATCAAATTACATGTTGATTACAGTTATAACAGACCCAGAAGACAATCTGACAGTAGCCAACGGCGCACTTCAGAAACATTATTTCTATCAGTTCACGAGCAACTGGGTGGGGGATGGTCTCGTCACGTCAGCAGGTGAGTTTGAATTTGAAATGAAAAGTCTCCAAGATAATTTACCATTTTTTTAAATTTAATTGTACCAACTGCTTTATAGTGAATGCTGAGTGTTGTGGATATCTTGTCATTTTTTCGTTATTAAAATTATATTCAAAATTATCGTTTTTATATGGAACTACTAATAGCTTTTATAAAAATATTTTGAAAGTGAACTACACGCTCCATATTGTCTTGGAGGCCCACTGTGCATAAGTCAGTATTTATGTTATGATAAATTCCAGGGGAGACATGGAAGCGTCACCGCAAATTATTGAACCCAGCGTTCAGTCAGCAAATGTTAAACATCTATACAGCTGTATTCAACCGAGAATCGAGGAATCTGATTTCTGCCATCGAAATCCAAATGAAGAGCGGCCCAGTGCTTATCACCGCAGCTTTCAAAGAAATGACATTAAAAACATTATTATGTGAGTAGCAACGTTCTAAAGATTGTGTTGGCGAACGAATAGATCTTACCACTGTCTATTATACTGTTACCTAAATTTTGGGAAATGTAGAGTGACATATGCAACAGTTACCATGGTGATATCTGTTTGTAAATACGATCGAATGGTTTTCATTCCAATTATCGATCTTATTCTTATCTTACTCAATACATACTCGTTGCACATAATATAATACCGTATTCTAGGGATTTGGGGAATTATATTTTACACCCTGTATTTTATAGATTAAAACGGAAAGAACTATTTAAATGAATGAATTTCCTAATACAGCAACAGCATTCGGTATAGAAGAAGAAGAATGTGATTTCAATCAGAAGTATATGCATGCCGTTGATGAATTAATGGCTGTGTTGACCCGTAGACTCCAGAATATTCTATTGCACAATTCGTTCATTTACAAGCTGAGCGCTTTAAAGAAAAAGGAGGACGAGCTGATCGAAACAATAATGGCGATGTCGAATAAGGTAAGGTCATCATCACGTTACATATTCTGTAGCGTTTTCCCGGTATTGCGTACACTCACCCCTTTTTCACTCACTCAGTATTTTTGCATCCGTACCCCGTAATCCATCCACTCTATCCATCCAGCTCGGCAAAGAGTTCGACGTAAAACCTAGTCCACACTTCAACTCATCTTCTCAGCGGGTTGCGATTCTGATCCGGTAGTAGATTCATTCACGAAGCAGCTGCTCTTGAGTCATTATGTCTCCCTTGGAGGCGCTCGGGCAGCTGTTAGCAAACCCCATCCCTCCTGACTGAATGTTTGCTCGTCCACCTGTCCTGGTAAAACTGGAAAGGCATTTGGGCTACCAGTAATCCTTCTTTCATAATAAAAAAAACTGCACTTGCATAGATTCTAACCGGACGCATCTAGTTTTGTAGTCACCTTGTTTCGAAGGGACAATTTACTTGGCTTGCAGAGCACCGGGTAGAGGCTCCCGAGTAAAAATAATTAATTCTCGGCACATTTTATACCTTGATTTATTTAATTAAATTGGTATTTGCGTGCAATTTAACTTTCAGGCTATAAATAGTAAACGAAGAGCTTTAAAGAACAAACAGGAATCTCACGAAAATGGTTGTGCCTCTGGTACGTAATCTCGAAACTATCAATTGTTTTCTTCATAAAGGATAAAGCGTCCGGTGCGACCATGTCGATGTTCAAATCCTGCGGGCAGGTACGGGCAGGGCGAATTACTTAGACGATGAAATAATAGCTTCGTGTACTTAGGTACATATTAAATATTAAACCCGTAAAAATTATAATTTTCTGTATAATCGAGACAGTCAAAGCTCAAGGTAGGCTACGGCGTTCACGATGTGATGTCGATGAGCTCCAGTAATCATTTAACACTAGATGGGCCTTAAGCCCGTAGATGCAATACTAAAATTAACTTCCTAAACTAAGAAAGAAAATCAAATTTTACTAACAAAGAATGCGCTGCATTTATAAATAACAAAATATTTTTTGTTTCTCATTGGTTGATATTATGTTCGGTGAACTGAGTGTTCGTGGGATTGAATAAATTGACTGTAGGCATTTTTCATTTGTTTCCATTTTTGTTTCCATTTTACGTTCCGCCTCAAATATAACAACATTAAACATTACAGAAAAAAAAACTCAATCACTGTCAGACCTTCTCTTGAAAGGCTTGGATGACGAGGCCTTCACGGACAAAGAGATCAGGAATGAAGTTGATACCTTTATAGCTGCGGGATCTCATACATCGTCACAGCTCATGACGGTTGTCGTGATGGTATTGGGCTCGTATCCTGAGATCCAGGATAAAGTTTACCAGGAGTGAGTTTATAGTTTGTATTTATGAAAATGATTTGTATACTTTTTAGTTTCAAATAATGTAGGCGTTTTAGAATATTTCTCATCACCGCCTGGCACATTACATTGTAACGGTTAATGTTAATCATTGACAACAACTAAGTCGAGGATTTTTGGCGGGAACGCGAGGAGTGAAGTTGTGTGATTTGTTTTATTTTGTCTATTTACTGTTTCTTCAGGCTTAAATGTGTGATAACGGTGGTTTATTAACTGTTTGGTACCTGTGAAAGTGCACAAATGTGGAAAAATAAAACAGAGCCGCTGAACGTAGCTTCTCGGGATCCTGCAAAAAGTCCACTGAAAAAGTCTCAATATATTATTATGATCAGTATTTTACTGAGATTATATTTCATCTCATTTAATTTCATTTCGTGCCATGTTTCATATTAATCAACTTCATTTCATTTCATAATATCATATTTCATATAAAAAAAAATTTCATAAAAATTAAAACAAGACTTGGTCTTAGTGACCAGGTCATAAAATCCTTTAAAAAAAAAACTAAGTCGACTGCAGCTGCTTATCGCTAAGTACAATGGCCAAATCGTAGGTTTATCAAAGCCATCTATCTCCATGAAACGTGCAAATGCTTTGATCCAGACATAAGCAGTTATAGTGACTGCAGCACGCCCTACGCCACACATAATGAAGCGAAGTTTATTCGAAATAGTGTGAATATTTGGTTTATAATAATTACATACAATATATGCTTCTTGTAGTGAAACATTAATTCATAAAAACTTACTAGAAAACATAATCAGGAATTAGTGTTATTCAATTACCACCGCTGTAAGAGTAATAAAAAATAAATTCTTTATCAGCATTTTCTTGCGATTTTATGTTCGCAATTCGTCATAGTACCAAATTTAATTCAAACAGACAAGATTAAGGATAACTTGATAAGATTGCCAACTGCCATATAGATACGGCTCTAACTATATCGATCGTGAATCTCATGCACTATCGCGTGAGTCTGAGACTTTCACTGATAGGGAATCCGGCCTGACCTCTCAGAGGGTTCGGACAGCAAATGCCCGGTCTTAGGAGATACTTGAAGTACGGGAACCGCGACTCAATGCCGATTGCGTTTCCACTGAGCCTATGTTTCGTGATGATAATAAATAAAGCCCAAGGTCAGACGCAAAAAGTTGTGGGTGTTGATCTAAGTGTTAACTGCTTTTCACATGGTTAGCTTTATGTAGCTCTGTCACGTGTTAGCAATCCTAGAAGCCTGTGTGATTTGATTCTCGATAGCTTATACGTCTAATGTCGTGTATAGAGAAGCATTACTTTAAATTAGATTTTTCTAAATACCCAAATGAAGGTGTTTATAAACCAAAAGACATGTCCAAAAACTGCTGTCCAAAGTCACTATTCCACGCGGATAGTCGCGGGCACAGCTAGTACTAAATAAACCTCGAAGGTACTCCACAGAACGCGTTTACAGGGAAAGTCAAGTTCTCAACATGCGTTAGCTATTCATTATAAAAATATGTTTATTGTTACATGGAGCGGTGCTCTCTTCTGAAATATATGATTCCTTGATTAAACGCAGGGTTAACAAATTACCTGTAATTTTGACAGCTACAAAATTTCCATCTATCAAAACCTAAAACCCAAAACGGTTGGACACTAAACCACTTGTGAAAAAATGGTTAACATTGAACTGTATTGACAAAGAGAACTCAATTAAAAGCAAGATATAGCAGTAGATTTATTAGTTTTCTATCTCTTTTTGTTTATTTCTACGCTCCCCACATAATTAATAATTATTTGACGTGTTATTTTTATTATTCAAATTTTATTTTATATGTGAAATCATGTAACGCATTTTTTTTAGTTTAATAATTCTTAATAATAGTGATGTCCTTTTGAGGTCCATTAAATACATAGTAAATCGTATTTTGGTCCTCACGATACAGGCTGACCGTAGTGTGAGCATCATTTTACATCTGGGCCGCCACCGACTTTTTGTTGACACCAAGCCTCTCGAGATGTTTTGAGAGGGTTTTAAGGACCAATTTTTATTATTATTTATTTTATTTACCTATGATATTCGTTACAAAAATATGACTAATTTAAAATTTTATTTCAGAATTAAATCGGTGTGTGGAGATTCGGATGCCGTTGTCGATAAACTTCAACATCCACGATTAGTTTACACGGAAGCTGTTTTGAAGGAAACATTAAGACTATACCCGATCGCTCCGGTTGTTTTCAGAAAAACAGAAAATGAAATAAAACTGAGTACATACATTTGGAATCTATGCTAGAAATTTAATGAAAAAAGCGGCTTTTTCTCGGTGTAGGTTACGTAAAGGAACAACCTAAGGGAGAGAGCGCAGCTTGACAGGGTTTTTTGTTATTATAATATTACAATTATTAATATATTATATAATGGCGCAGGCAGGAGCTGGATGAGAGAAGCTGAGGATCGTGCTCAGTGGCGAGCAATTGGAGAGGCCTATGTCCAGCAGTGGACTGCTCCAGGCTGCTGATGATGAATGCAATTATTAGTAGTTTGTGTAGACTTGTGTGCGAAGGGCCTTACTTGTTTAGAATTGATACAGTTAGTGGATTTTAAAATGTTTTTGTTTCTTTTTTATTATTTGATTAATTGATTTTATTAAATATAGAATAGCTTCTGTTGTTTATACAAAACTATCTCAATCGCGACTCTAATTTAGTAGGTACTAAATTCATACACGCATAACGAAACATCAATGTACATGTATATAGCACTCACACGCACAATTACGTTGTTTCTTCAGAGAACTACACGATACCGGCCAACAGTAACTGTATGTTGGGTATTTATGGTCTGAACCACCACCCAGTGTGGGGCCCTGACGCGCACACGTTCCGACCAGAGCGCTGGTTGGAGCCCGGAGGTGTGCCCGACGACCCTAATGCATTCGCAGGATTCAGCGTCGGGAAACGGAATTGTATCGGTAAACATAATAGAAATATATCTGTTCAACGCTTAGGTATAATACGAGAATATAATTAGTAGTAATGATCGGTTCATCTCGGGTTTTGGATCTTCTAGGTATGTTGCTTTCGACCAGAATTTCTTCAGAATTGCTCTCAACACTTTTAGTACCGATACCATGGGACAAATGTTTTTTTTTGTCACAAACCCACATCCTATAACAAAGATTATTGTGCAAATAAGTAAGTCAACGAATAATTACAAGAAATTGTATACAAGTATTATCTTGTAAATATTCATTGAATTTCCTTCCAAATTATTATAAAATGTAATTTATATGTTTTTTTTTGCCAGACTGCATTGACGATGTAGCGGTGCCTGGTATTTCACTATGACTATTTAATATAATATGTAGTTCTAATTGTTACACAGAATATAGCTATTATATTATTTTAGACATAAAACACAAGATTTCTCTTCGAAGTCTATCAGCTTTAACAAGTTGTACAACATTTTTGTGTAGCTAAAACAAGCAGCCATTTAAAAGTTTAAACTAATATTTTGACAGGTAAAAACTATGCCCTTATATCGATGAAGATCATGCTAGTACATTTAGTACGACGATACAAAGTTACTGCAGATATATCTAAGATTGAATTCAAAATGAATGTGCTCATGGCGCCTTCAGACAACTGCTACGTCAAATTTGAGTCAAGAAAATGAACAATGGCGTAAACGGTACTACCCCTCGCCAGGAACTTTCGTCATGATTTCTGAAATTTGTATAAATATAACTGGTAATACAAAAACAAAACTGGTTTTTTTTTATTATTAATTAAATTGTTGTAAATGTCGTCCCTGAATTTTAATACAGGCTCTGAATCAACCTCGGTGACCACTCGTCGATCGCAGTCATAACGTAAATAACATAATAAAAACGCAACACGAGGTAGCTCAGCTGATGCTGTTCGAAGTGGGTGCATCAAGCAGCGCTGATTTCACTGATCAACACTAATCATGCCAGAGGAACTCTGTTAGCTAATAATACTATTTTAAACACCTACCTCATTGGTAAACAGCAGTAGTTTTGTTTCGGTTGGCCTCAGATTTCTCGTCATGTGTAAAGAAGTTTATATACAATTTTGATGATAAACGCAATTAAATAAATACCCAATAAATTAATTATTTTGCTAACTGTTTTCTGAATTATTGAAATTTTGTGAATATGCCAAGAAAGTGTAAAAACGACCTAATCTCATTTTGTTATATTGGTGGTGAATTTACTTTCAAAAAATAAAGACGAAATTTCATAAAACTTGCGTTGAAGTGTTGCCTACTAGTATTTTGGTTTTACTGTGCCTCAACCATTGATTCAACGGGCTCAACAAGACAAATCCTCATATAATTTGTTGTTGAACATTTATCTCTTATAGAGCCGTCTAGAGTAAGTTTCTTAACTTCTTCGCCATTGCATATTAAAATGCGTCTCCAAGAACAACGTGCCTGGCGATGCCTCCGGTGCTTTAGCACCGGGCACGGCCTCGCTAGGTGCACCAGCTTGATTGACCGCAGCGGTCTGTGTTTCCGCTGCGGCCAGCCGGGTCATAAAGCGGCGTCCTGCACGGCCGCCCCGCACTGCGCTCTGTGCGCTGCGGCCGGGCGCACGGCAAACCACCGGGCGGGAGGCAAGGGTCGCTTCCCGTCCGGTGATAATACTGAACGCAACCGGCGCCGAAAATCAAAGCGCCGGCAGAAGAGAAGGTTGGCCAGAGGAGCACTGGCCAACACTGTAATCCCCGCTGCGGCGCCGGTGCCAGAGAGTGGGGGCAGCAGTGAAGGGAAGGGGGCGATGGATGTGGTCCAATAGTAATGGACCACACCTATCGCTTCCTCCAAGGAAACCTGAACCACTCCGCCAGAGCTCAGGACATGCTATCTCAGAGCATGGCGGAGTGGTCCATAGATGTAGCTGTGTCGCCGAGCCGTACTTCGTTCCCCCGGCAAATTATTGCTGCTTCGGGGAAGATGGCGGCCTGGCGGCCATAGTCATAAGAAGAGACGCGGTGATCTCCCCCTTGGCGATGGTGACCAGGGGCCAAGGGTTCGTCGCGGTGCAGCTGGAAGGGACCGTCGTGATCGGGGCGTACTTCTCTCCGAACAGGCCTACTGTCGAGTTCGGGCATTTCCTGGCGGGATCGGGGCGATTGCTCGCCGCCTCGCTCCTCGTCCAGTGATTCTCGCGGGCGACCTACATGCGAAGTCTGTCGCATGGGGGGCTCCCCCCGCTCGGACGCTCGTGGTAGGCTACTGAAGAACGCGGCCGGCCTCTATTTGTTGAATAGAGGGTCGGTTGCGACGTGCGTGCGGTGGCAGGGCGAGTCTATTGTGGACGTTACATTCGCGAACCCGGCTATCGCGCGCCGTATCCGCGACTGGAGGGTTCTGCAGGGGGCGGAGACGCTGTCAGATCACCGGTATATTCGGTTTGATCTCTCCGCCCGCTCCACAGTCGCGGTCGCCTTACCAAGCACGTCAGCTTGTGTTCCTTCGAACTAATCAAAAGATGCATTTGACTGGATCACTAACTTACATTCGTAATGCTATCCGCATATCCGCTATTACTTGTAGATTCGCATCAAGAATATTTATCAAACATTATTGTGCAAATTAGAACAAACAACGAAATGATAGGTTCTTTTGACAACTTTGCATTCAACCAATGCAGTAATAATAAATAAAACAATTATATTATTAATTAAATTGTTGTTAATGTCCTCCCTGAATTTGAATACGGGTGTACAAAAGCGTCTTCATTTTTATCCAATCAGCCGATTTATTTGTTGTGCGGTTATAGTAACTGCAACTTCTTTTAAACAAACAAATGCAATTACTGCGAAACAATTCATGAATATGAAAGTTGACGCCATCTAGGTATATGGCGCCAACAAACACGATTTGCTCAATTACAATTATTTGTTCAAAGTGTTTGTGTTATTTGTGACAGGCTTTTTTTAATATATATTATGCTTATTAATATTTGAGTATTTGACAGCTATTGTGTTTTTAAACAATAAATTAAACATAGCACGTCTTCTGAAAATTTTCTTGTGTTTCTCAGTGTTTACTAAATTTTTAAATTGGTAAAATAGCAGTTTCATATGACTAATAGCTATTAAAAAATAACGTAGAATATACTAAACTATAACTCATGGTTAATTATTGCCATTAATGGCGGTAGCGTCCATCTATACGCATATCGAGTGCATTCCATAAACCAATAGCACGATGAAGGAATTATCATAAAACCTTGTCGAATGCACTGGCATCATTAATTAAATTGCATGTTAAATGAAAAATGCTAAGAATTTCAGATTTTTTATTTAAATAATTGTGAGCAGATGGATAAAAAAGCCCGTGCACTAACCTGTATGGCGATTTTCCTGGTAGAATGTGAGCTGCGGTTTCTGGGGCTGGCCACCTCTCATCACCACTGGACAATTCTCGGACACGTCGGTGATCGCGAAGCATAATGCGGTTATGCAGCACGCTTTGTTAATTCACTACATAAAATATCTACTTATTTGCGGATAATTTGTATTTGCTTTTGAAGCGGTTTACTTACGCGTTTAAAATTTTTCACTTTTAGCGGTAATTAAATAATGTCACAGATAATATTTTTTAGGGATTTTATGACCTGGTAACTAAGACCTTTAAGTCATGTCTTATTTTAATTTATATTCTTATTTTTATGAAAAACTAGCTGACCCGGCAGACTTCGTAGTGCCTCAGTCGATAAATAAAAGACCTAAACTTTTGTATAAAATAAACTTTAAACAAACAAAAGGAATGCGTCTGACGGGGGAATCATCAAAGGAAAAACAAAATTGTTATTTTTATATAATTCCGACCCTTTTCAAATTTTTCTATCTTTTAAACCTTCTCTGGCCTTCCACAAATAATTCAAGACCAAAATTAGCCAAATCGGTCCAGCCATTCTCGAGTTTTAGCGAGACTAACGAACAGCAATTCATTTTTATATATGTATATAGATGATATTAAGGAGTGATATGAAATGAAACGAAGATGATTAATTTGGAACATTAATCAACTGGGATGAAATTAAATGAAATGAGATGAGATGAAATATAATCTCAGTAAAATAGTGGTCATTTACTGAGATTTTTCCAGTGGACTTTTTGGAGGATCCCGAGAAGTTACGTCCAGCGGCTTTGTTTCATTTTCCTACATTTTTGCACTGTCACAGATATTAAACAGTTAAGAAACCACCGTTATTACACATTTAAACCTGAAGAAACACTAATAAGACAAAATAAAACAAATCACACAACTTCACTCTTGGCGTTCCCGCCAAAAAGTCCATAGATAATACACATAAACTAGTTTATTTATTTATTTTATTATTATTTGTGGTCATAGTTTAACAAAGATTAATAAGCTAATATTAATAAATGTATCACTATGTCCTGCTAGTAAAGCGTACAAATATTAGGTGTAAGTATAATCTACATAAAAATAAAAAATAAAACTTAAATTATTCTACTTTATCATCTTAATTATCTAAAGTTATCGTCTAAATATTCTGAGATACTATAGTAAGCCTTATCTATTAAAAATACTTGCAATTTTTGCTTAAAATCTTGTAAATCTACTGTCTTCAAAATTTTTATTGGTAGTTTATTAAATATTCTTGATGACATACTAAAAAAACTCTTGTCATAAAGGGCAGTTCTATGAGGTAGCGAAGAAATCTTTAAAGTATTCCTAACAGATTGCAGTTTTGCAAACAGATGTTTGTTCGTTTTGACAAAAATCGCTACCTCATAAATATATAACGATGTAAAAGTCATGATTTTTAACTTTTGAAAGAAAGGCTTACATGAGTCTGGTACATGAATGTTTGCTATAGCACGCACACATTTCTTTTGTGCTTTAAATACGTACTCTGTATTAGTGGCGTTTCCCCAGAATATTAAAGCATATCTAAGGGTTGACGCCACATATGCATGGTAAGCTGTCAGTACAGCTGATTGGTCTACTACTTTCGCTAACTTATACAAGGCATACGTATATTGGTTTAATTTTTTACATATTGTATCAATGTGTGTTTGCCATTTCATATCATTATCAATCCAAATACCCAGAAATTTAGTACTATTCACTTCTTCAATATGTGTCCCATCATATTCTATTTTCAAAGAGTGTTGTATTTCTTGTGGGTATGTGACAATTTTTGTTTTATTTAGGTTAATTACTAAATTGTTTCTTAATAACCATTCTATAACTAGCTTAAGAGTAGTGTTAATATCGGACTCTAAGGAGTTTAATTCTTTTTCTGTGAAGATGACGGTGCTATCATCGGCAAAGAGAATCATCGGATGTTCTATGGCTTTAGGGAAGTCATTAATATAAATTAGAAAAAGGAGCGGCCCTAGTACGCTGCCTTGAGGTACACCGAATTGCATTTTCATCCAATTTGAGTGATAGCTTTGTACTGTCCTACTCAGTGGACATATGTTGTCTATTTCAACCCTTTGATATCTGTCAGTTAAATATGATTTTAATAATTTATGGACATTGCCTCTAATTCCGTAAGCGTTTAATTTATCTAGAAGGGTTTTATGATCCACATAATCAAACGCTTTAGTCATGTCCATGTACAGTGTAGCAGTAGGAGTTCGATTATCTAAATTGTAATATATAGGTTTTAATAGGTCATGTACAGCCATATTAATTGATTTATTTCTTCTGAAACCTTTTTGCTCTTGTGTAAATAAATTATGTTTTTCAAAGTAGGAGTTAATAGCTTCGTAAATAATTTTCTCTATAATTTTGGAAAAAATGGGGAGTAAAGATACTGGTCTATAACAAGCAATGTTTTCTTTATCGTCTTTCTTAAAGAGTGGCTTAATGACAGATCTTTTTAGTTTGCTTGGAAAAACGCCATGTTCTATACATAAGTTTATGATATGGCTAAGTACTGGGCTTATAATAAGTGCTACCGATTTAATTGCCGATGTAGTAATATTATCATTAAATTGTTAACATTAAAAGTTTTTAATAATAAATCCTTCAAATAAGTAATGTAATAGTATTTTCGATAAACTCACGAACCGACACCAAAGGTTAGAAGCACATTACAGTCAGCGCTGGTCCCTTTGAAACTTGAGGTCTAAAGGTAAGTGATTTTCTAACTGAAACTCTTAACTGCGTATCAGAATTACGAAAAAATTCATCTTGACTGATAAGATAGCCGCCCGAATAATCGGCCCGATGTTCTTTTATCGAGTGATGCGCCTTCAGGATTTGAACCAGTATTCAAATCTCAAACGTAATCTTTTTTTTTATGATTGATGGATTACTGGTGGCCCGTAGGCCTTTTCCAGTTTCACCAGGACAGGTCGGCGAGCAAAGGCTCAGCCAGAAGGGGTGGGATTTGCTAACAGCTACTCGAGCGCCTCCGAAGGAGACCTAACAGCTCAAGAGCAGCTGCTTCGCGAATGAATCTACTACCGGATCGGAATCGCGACCCGCTGAGAAGATCCGGCGAGAAACTCAGCGAGCTGATTCATGGGTTAGGTTGCACGGCGAACTCTTTGTCGAGTTCGACGAGTACGGTTACCGGGGTTCCTAGGCCTGCTCCTAGTGTTAGAGCTGAAGGCGTCTAATGCAAAGGTTATTGGATCTGATGGATCCGTAAGGACGTGTCTGGGGCGTCGACGGTGACTGGCTCCTGCGTGATCAGGATTAGGGGAGTAGTCAGCGGCGGCAACAATAAGGCGATTATCTTGACGCATAGCCTTATCGAAGTACCGTTCCGACGCTGACTTCATTTATTTCTGGATAGATTCGAGGCCCAGGTCGTCGTGTAGGTCAACGTTCCTCACGAACCACGGAGCTCCGACGGCTAACCTGCAAAAGCGGGATTGTAGAGATTGGAGGGTGTCTATGTGTGTGCGGGCCGCGTGAGCGAACACCACACTCGCGTAAGTCATGACGGGCCTTATGCAAGTTTTGTAAAGTGTCACCTTGTNCGTGAGCGAACACCACACTCGCGTAAGTCATGACGGGCCTTATGCAAGTTTTGTAAAGTGTCACCTTGTTCCGAAGGGACATTTTACTCCGCTTACAAATCATGGGGTAGAGTCTACCGAGAATAAACGCAGCACGGTCACGGACTGATTTTATATGCGGGCGGAATGTCATCGATGCATCCAGGGTAACGCCCAGGTACTTGACCTTTCTGTATACCAGGGTATACTGTAACCAGGATATGGGTTGTCTAAAGAGAGTAATCGGGGGTGTACGTAATCTATATCATCGAATATATATAGTATTAATACGTGAAGCAAAAACGTAGACCCACTTTTTACGAAAATTGCGCAGACGGAGGAGTATGAAATTTTCCCACAATTATAGAGATTATAGCGAAGGAGTGCAGCACGTTAATTTTTTTAATTAAGCATAATAAATACATTAAATCAATAAAAAAAACATTAGAAACACTACCATTTAATTGACACACACAGACGTTTACTCTTTTGTTTATTGTAAAACTTTTCTTATTGTTTAAAGTCTGTGGTCGAATTGAGAATAGTTTAAATATTGTTTTTCTTTATTAATATTTGTCAAAACTGTAGTCTTGGCGAAATCTGTCATTATAGAAGTATGATAGTCTTTGATGGTAGAACCATAATATTGTTCAAACTTATAACTTCAATTAATTATTGTCAAATTTCGACTATTGGGCGACCACTCGTATGTACTTAACACCTGCTCAAGAACTACTTCCACGAAGAAGGAAGAAAATAATGTAATAAAAATTAAACCCGAATTTTTTTTCGTAATTTCTGGTGGTTGGCCGTATTGTACGCCCGCAAGGTTTAGTAAGTACCAACATCCTACTTATCTAAGTCGCGAAGCAGCCATGAGTATGATTTGAAGGATTGGGACAGCCGCTATACTCTACAACTTAGGCCTCGAATCTAGAGTGGGATGTTACTACCCACTCGTTATTGCGACGTCTATGGTTTCAGGTAACCCCTTAAAATCAATGGGTAGCGAGTTCAGTCACTCATTTATGCCAAAAAAGTATCGTTAAACCATATCAAAGCTCACTTAACAGATTCTTCCCTTCTTCTTTTTCTCCACCTTATCCCATGAGGTGGGGTCGGCACAGCTAATTTTCCTCTTCCATTCTCTTCTATCAGCCGTCATCTCAACACTCACTCCTCTCTCTCTCATATCGTCATTCACACACTCCATCCACGTCTTCTTCGGTCGACCTCTTCCCCATCTAACTTCCACTACCATTTCCATACATCTCCTAGTCACATGTATCTTCTCTCTACGCATCACATGTCCATACCACGCTGACCGTCCGCTCTTTAATTACAGCTTAACAGTTTCTTCTCTTTTAAATTTTAAGTCGAACTTAGCGAACTCGTAGCTCTTTCCAGCACAAAAACTGGTTATGTCTCTCCATCCATTATGTCTCTCCATTCACATTGTAAATAAATCTATAAAAGACAACAAATTAACAATGGCTGCTTGAAAATAACTTTTTTATAAAAACGAACAAATGCACTTTTTATTTATTCATGGAATAATATGAATTATAAAATATTAAAAATTTGATATTCATCAAATTTTATTCATGAAATATACATATTTAATTTTATTTACGAACATAATACAATATACTCGTCTATTAAGAAAAATACAAAGTAAATGAAAACGACTTTTATTCTACTATAGGCTACGAATAAATATTTATTCGTAGACTATAGGTAACTAAAATAGACAGTAAATTAATTTAATTATATTATTATGATGTTAGAAATTTTTACGTCATAATAATCTGTCTGGCTATGCAGAAGTTATGATTACATTTTTCGTTTTCATTATTATTAATAGTTGTTTGTGTGCTAAGAAGGCTAATAACTAGCTAATACTGTAGTAGTGTCGTCATAGAATATAGGAATTTCCTTTTTTTTCGTCTCCGCAGGAACGAAACCTTTAACCTTGGTATGGCGTATTGTTGCCATTTACTTACGGACTAGTTCTCACAACCGTCTGTCCTACAATCTATTACTGATCTACTGATAAGATCAGAAATATTCAACATTCAATTAACAAGTGCTGTTAAGGACGGGCGTGACTTTAATTTTTATTAATTACATTTATTACTTAAATTTTACAACTTTTTCAAGTACCTATAAAATGATTATTTTAACTGTGTCTCTGGTGATTATTATTGCTGTTCTGGGGTCTTGGATGCTTTTTTATCGGCATTATAAAGATTCACCACCTTTCCACAAAGGTCTGCTACCAATTATAGGACACTCATACCTATTTATGGGTGATACAACTTGTAAGTTTTTTTATTGAATTCTGAATCTGTACATTGGTTTTCAATTTTATTTTTATCTTGTTCTGAGAGTTTATAGCTCTTCATATCGTTGCGTATAAGATTTTTTTTAGTTTCCTGTAGCGGTGCTAGTAGGATACGCAACTTATTGATGATTTGTTTTATTTATTTTAAAAAATGTACGTAATGTTTAGGAGTTATCTTGAAGTCTCCAAGCTAATTACGCTTTGAATGTTTTGCTTTCATTTTAATATATATCTAACAGCTTTATACTGCGTTTCAAATTAAACGAATATTTGCTCATTGACGCTCATGGACAACACCAATGTTGGAGCTCTCCTGAACCACTATCCATCGGCTTGATACGAATAGAAATACAAAGTAGTTGAGTGAGACCACTTGTGTGAACTGCTTTCACACGTTCAGTGTATTTCAGGTAAGTTATAAGTCGATTACCAACTATCAGAGCCCGTCGCATTGATACTGTACGTTATGGAGAAAGGTGGGCTTTATGCTTGTTTTACCTTCTCAAACAATAAAATACCATACAGGTATCCGATCCTGATCCTCTCAAACTTTGTTACCACTGTTTCCATAAATAATCTTTTTTTGACCATCCGGCATTAGAATGAGCTTAAATTCTTCCTTCTTCAAACGAGGCTTGTGGAGAGTACTTAACGGCAGGTAGCGGCTTGGCTCTGGCTCTGGCATTGGTGAAGTCCAGGGGTGACGGTAACCCCTCACCAACACGTAGGCCGTATGCTCGCCTGCCTGGGCAAGGGCAATAAAAAAACTGTCCACCATATGGGTATGCTCGTTTATTTTATATATTAGCTACAGTAAAGCCCTGGTATGCATATTTTAGTCTTCATGGGCTGAAGAAGCGATTATGAGCAGGTTGGGCGATAACACGTTGGCAAAAGTAATTAAAAACAAATAATTAAAATTTCAGCCATATGGCGTAATTTGAAGAATTTGGCTCAGGACTGCACCGACAAGGGAGGCGTATTGCAAATTATCATGGGTTTCAAAAGACATTACAGTAAGTATTTCTATTAAGTTAATCCTATGCCTACATTTATTGCGAAACAGTCTTGTGTGTCAATAGGAAACTTTATTTACAGTGAAAGACAAATATTAGACATTTAAATAATGATAAACTCAATAATGAATAATTTAATTCAAAAGTATACACGTTCTTCAATGTATCTTTTTTTTATTGCTCTTGTAGGCAGACAAGCCTACGGCCCACCTGATGGTGAGTGGTTACCGTCGCCCATGGACTTCAGCAATGCCAGGGGCAGAGCCAAGTCGCTGCCTACTGTTAAATATCTCGACTTATTATATCACGCCGTGAGGGACTCACCCCTGGGAGGGTGCCGACAGCAATCATCATTTATCATTAACAGCCTATTTTAGTTATTTAGTCCACTGTTGGACAACAGTCTCTCCCAAGGTACGCCATGCGACCACCCGCTACGCGACACGTCAAGACAGACGTGTCAACGGTACGTTCTCTGGTAACCACTTAAACCAGATAGACTGTAAGCTCATCGGGACATTTTGGCGATTTAAATAAAAGATACATTCATTCAATTTCGAACCAGGCAATGTCTCATGTCAGACGAATATTCCAAACGGCTGCCTTATGTGTTAGAAAAACCGATTTTCTAACTGCCTTTCCCGCGTTTCTTTTGCTAGCTACATAGAAATTAATAGGTAACACAACAATTATTGAAAACACCCGGGTGTCTTTCTAAGGCCTAGGCCGCACTACGGTTTTTTCCCGTGAGCCGTTAACCGCTATAACTGCGAAACCGCTTCAGACGCACACACTACAATTATTAACCGCGCATTCGCCCGCTATTTTCACAGTTTGAAGATGGATAAATTTCAAAAGAGCCAGTATGTAGTGTTGCTCTAGTACTAAGAAATAGAAAAAACGACAACGAAAATTTCACAAATGATGGGTCCATCCACTTACTAGCCGTAGATTTGAGAAAGGTTTCTTTCATAAGAAATATCAAAATTTAAGAAAACACTTTTTTTTTTTTTTTCAATTACTATCGGATGTCATTTGATGGAAACAAAATTTCGCAAATGTATTTGACATTTCAAAAAACCACTCGCGGTTAACGCACGGATACCTAGTTCTATGGATTATAAATTTTGTTGCGGTTTTTTTCCGCGACAATTTTGTAACATTTCGCGATTTTAAAATCAGTCGCGGGAAAGAACCGCAAGTGCGGCCGCTTATATTCGTTTTCGTGTTTCGTAAACTCACACGATTATTAGCCGCTGCGGTTTCACCGTAGTGCGGCCTAGGCCTAAAGCGTCTAATTTTTTAAAGTATGATTTAAGAAGATTGTATTTTTAATAATTCTAATATGTATGTATGTATAATGTTTTGCGAAGAACAAAAACATAGGTTGGGAACAGCGTAATCCTTAATTCTCTTATGTACGATTGGTAAGAATGGAATGTATGAAAAGAGTGTGAAACGGAACGTTAAGATGTGAATGAGAGAAAACAGGAGGGAAAAGAGAATGACAGACAGAATGACACATAAATAGGAAGATGGCGAAGACGGTTAAAAAATGAGCAAGGCGTAATAATAGTGTTTATTAATCTATCTTCTATCTATATATAATATATAAAAATGGATTGCTGTCCGTTAGTCTCGCTAAAACTCGAGAACAGCTGGACCGATTTGGCTAATTTTGGTCTTGAATTATTTGTGGAAGTCCAGAGAAGGTTCAAAAGGTAGATAAACATGAAAATGTTCGGAATTAAATAAAAATAACAATTTTGTTTTTCCTTAAATGTGTCCCCCAAAAGTTTAGGTCTTTTATTTATCGATTGAGGCACTACGAAGTCTGCCGGGTCAGCTAGTTTTTAAATATTATTAGAACAGAAGATTTTGGATCAGTGGAAGTTATATTTTATGCGCTGCGATCCCCATTCTACATCTATTACATCGAACAACTTTGTTTACATATTTTTATTTTTTTAAATGAAAAACATGTTCACTGATTTCACACACGATAACATTAATTAATATGCACGGTCGTATTTCAACTTAATACGTTTATTATTAGACTAAAAACAAAACCGTAATAGTTTATTTATTTTTATTATAATACAATACGTATACTATTTTTTTAAATATTTATTTGAAACAAATAATCTTTTAACTAGAACCACGTTAATGTCATTAGTTCTGCTGATTGGATTAGGTGGTCGCAGTGGACCGTGGTAACCCTAATAAATGTTCACGATTGACTTCCACGGTGAAGGAATAGCATTATTATATAATTGCGTAATTACTGATGGTAGGACCTCTTGTGATTCCGCACGGGTAGGTACCACCGCCCTGCCTATTTCTGCCGTGAAGCAGTAATGCGTTTCGGTTTGAAGGGTGGGGCAGCCATTGTAACTATACTGAGTTCTTAGAACTCCTATCTCCAGGTGGATGGCGGCATTTACGTTGTAGATGTCTATGGGCTCCGGTGACCACTTAACACCTGATGGGTCGTGAGCTCGTCCACCCGTTTAAGCACTAATTAATCAAAACAAAAAACCTTCATACGTTTCTTGATTTCTATTCCAGAAAGAGATCAGGCGTTCTGCCAAGAGTACAGAGTAGTCGTTTTGTAGACATCATTTAACATCTTGGCATCTCTAAATATTGGTTGTTGCACGTGAACTTTTGAAATTTTTATTTCGGAACTAGCTGACCCGGCAAACTTCGTAGTGCCTCAATCGATAAATAAAAGACCTAAGCTTTTGTATAAAAAAAAACTTAAAACAAACAAAAGGAATCTGTCCGACGGGGCACAAATCAAAGGAAAAACAAAATTGTTATTTTTATTTAATTCCGAGAATGTTCATATTTATGTACCTTTTAAACCTTCTCTGGACTTCCACAAATAATTCAAGACCAAAATTAGCCAAATCGGTCCAGCCGTTCTCGAGTGTTAGCGATACTAACGAACAGCAATTCATTTATATATATATAGATTTTATTATATTTTTTTCTGTTTCAGTTATAACAGACCCTAAAGATGCACTTACTGTCGCTAATGCCTGTTTGCAGAAACACTTTGTTTACAGTTTCGGTTCGCGTTGGCTCGGAAACGGTCTTATAACTGGGTCAGGTATATAATTTTCAATATCTCCGTGCCTGATAATGATAACGCAGCATCAAATCTTTAGCAGTCTGGTAAACGTGCTACATTCTTTTCTACACAATGAGACCAGCAGACTAATAATAACCAGATACAGTTTAAAAATGGAAATAAAACCATTGTTCTTAATAGTTCTTATTGTGTTCACATTCAGTTGACATATCTAATGAATTTATTGATAGCTGAGCCACCCCTTTTGCCTTTTTCTCTTTTTTTTTGCTTTTCTTGTTTTTTGTATTTCATTTTATGATGTGAAAGGCAATAAATGATCTTTATTATTATTATTATTATTATTGTTTTAGGGGAAATTTGGAAACGTCACCGGAAACTTCTTAGTCCGTCCAATTCCCCCCAAATATTGAACACCTACCTTGGTATATTCAACGAAAACTCCAGACAGCTCGTCACCGATTTAGCTCCTATGGTGGGTGAAGGATTAAAGGATTTATCGTTTCATATCAGAAAAATGGCCATGAATACAATTTTCAGTAAGTTTTTGTTGCTTATAATTATTTGGATTACATTAATAAAAACCAATCACATTAGCAAATTTCGCTAGGAGAAGAACACAATTTTGGACCTTAAAACGTTATTCAAAACATCTCATTGGATTTTTTTTTAAAAACGTGCCTGATGCAAAAATCGAAGATTGACACATACGTCATTTTTGCACTTATAAAAGGTCTACCTTATGCAAATAGAAAGCTTTATCATATATTTTCATTAAGTCAGGAGCTTACTGGCTACCTAGTACATAGACTTCATAACTTAACTATCGCCAGGCATCTTCGAGACTGGATGGCTACGCTTACGTGAGGTCAAAAACTTAATACAATAGTATACTTGAGATCTTAGAACTGATACCTCAAGGTGGGTGGCGCATTTCCGTCGTAGATGTCTATGGGGTCCAGTAACCACTTAACACCAGGGCTGTGAGCTCGCCCACCCATCTAAGCAATAAAAAAAAAAGTAGTACATACATCAACAAATGGACATATTTCATGATTGTGTTAACAATAGCGGTGCTCCTGCTATGCTTTAGCTAACCTTTTGCCACCTAGCCCTCAGTGGCTTCGGTACTCACATAAAACTAGGTGGGTCGTGAGCTCGTCCACTAATCTAAGCAATAAATGAAAACCGATAATTTTAGGAACTGCATTCGGTGTCTATACCAATGAAGACGAAAACTTCACCAAAGCGTACATGTCAGCTGTAGACGAGATATTAACGATCATCACAAAACGCTTCACTCGAGTTTGGCTACAGATTGATTTTATATATAATTTGACGAGCATCAAAAAAAGGGAAGACGAACTGATTCGAATTGTCAATGAAATGTCGAATAAAGTGAGTCATTTACATTTTTCATAAGATTTAATTTAGAATCGCACCACAGCGAAGTACAGTTCATCCTTTCCATCTAGAACCACAGAGCTTTTTTGCGTCATACGATATTGGAAAAGAGCTCTTTATTAGGCAGTGGCTTGGTTGTGTCCCTGATATTACCAATGTTCACGAGTGACCCCGACACTAACAATAATAGGTGCTTTTAATTACCATAAGAATACATTATTAACAGGCCTTGTCAGTCGTAAAGCAGTCGCCCGTATTATTTTGAAGGTTTGCAAAAAGTGTTTACTGTGGAATGTGTAGTTACATAATTTGTTTATAATTTTTTGTGTATATTTTAATATTTTATTACTGTTATTTTTTATTTTTGACAGATTATTGCAAGAAAACGATCTGAGCTGGCATCAGGCGTAGCAGCGGCAAACGAAACAGGTCAAGAAATAATATCATCATCATCAGTATCCTATTTTTTATTTGTGTTAGTTTTTTTAGTTTGCGATTGACTTGTAACTGTTCTATATGTAACTTTATTAGTACTACTGCCGCTGTGGTTCACACTTCAGAGACATGGAACCTGTTTTTGTTATAGAGCATTCTACATCTGACGTAGTCCTAGTTAAAAAAAAACGGTCTTTTTCACACAATTAGCGTCACAGCGGCCGGTTTCCGCTGGTTTGATTTAATGTGTTTATTTTTATTGGTCATTAGAGCTCACCGTTCACATGGTATTAAATGGTTTTTCTACAATTAAACATTAGAAAAACTGTATTGGAATAACAGCTATCCATTCTATCACAGTGGAATTTCAGACTATGCACGATGGAGGCATGTAGGATCAATGCTAAAGTTGGGATACATATTCAATCAACCTGTTATTAACTGATCACCAGGATTATAAGTACCATCATGGAAATCTTCTACCATCTTGAATGGTGGGGTCGAAATCAAATATATTGACATGACACCTACGAACCAGGATGGATGATGCTTTGCGTCAAAAGTAGGCAGGATGATACTACCCGCATATGCGTGCTCAAAATATTCTCTACCACCAGTAAACGTTCGTTGGCGAGACGGGTAAATTACTCAGAGAACGCTGTCAATAACTATTACAATTCTCCGGTCCCTTAGTCGTTTGTCACCATGTCTCTATGTAAAAAGGTGGATCCATTCTAAGTCAGCATAGTTTAAGTTCGCCGACTACATCATAACGAAGTAATTTTACACAAAACCATTTGTTTCATGTTTTTTTTTAATCGATTGCAGATAATAAATATCAAGGTCTGTTGGATCTTATGTTGAAATTAGCTAAAGAAGACGCTCTAACAGACCAGGAAATCAGAGAGGAAGTTGACACAGCAATTATGGCTGGTTTCGACACTTCCTCGTGGATCCTGGTTTATGTACTTGTAAATTTGGGATCGTTTCCAGAAGTTCAAGACAGGGCTTACAACGAGTGAGTAACTAGTAACTAGTAACTAACTAAGAGATGATAAAACCATTTTTTTCGACATTTTTGTATCACATCACCTAAGTTTTTTTTTTTTATAGCTTAAATGAGTGGACGAGCTCACGGCCTACCTGGTGTTAAGTGGTGACCGGAGCCCATAGACATCTACAACGTAAATGCCGCCACCTACCTTGAGATATGAGTTCTAAGGTCTCAATTTTAACAGTACAACGGCTCCCCCGCCCTTCAAACCGAAACACATTACTGGTTCAAGGCAGAAATAGACAGGGTGGTGGTACCTACCCGTACGGACTCACAAGACTTCCTACCAACAGTAAAGAATTAAATCTATTAATGAATTAAATACACACCATATGAGAATTAGAGTTGAAGCGAAATTAAATTAAACACTAACGTTGCAGCATTCAAGCGTAGTAAGTAAAATTAAAACAAATTTAAAAAATACACAAAGACATTCCAATAATTTTTTTAATATTGTGCGACAAAATTATTATTGCTTTTTTATAGTCGTGGCAGAGGATTAAGATTAGTCACTAGACGTTTATTAAGTATATGCCGGTACTAATTTCCACGGTGGCGACTCTAATAATCATATCTAAGCCGGAGAAGACTTCAATAATTATGCAATAATACACAACATTAAATTTTCATAATTTGTGATAAATTATAAATGTTTAACCGTTTTAATGCGGCAAAAGATGAACTAAATCTCTTATTGTATTGAGACTTTTGGCTTTGTCGGACAATTTTTAATATAAAATCTTGTTAATGAAATCCAAAGGTACTAACTTATAACAAAATACATAGTAAGATAATGTGGCGTGTAATTGGTATTACATCACGTAGGTATGCGGATGGAAAATGGTTTAAAGCTATGAGATGCGATCCGCAGACGGTAGCCAAATTTTGGCGGCGCATTGGAGTTCTAATAACACAGCTTGAATCAGAAAACAAAACTCTTTACTCACCTGATGTTCTCGAACTCTTCTTCAGCGATAAGATTCCTTAATTGCTTATGAGCGGTGAACGGACGCGAACACTTCACAATATTACAATAATTGAAAGTTTTGATAGGATGGGATAGCGGTGAAAAAACGAGTTTTATTTAGTTTATTTTTTTAATGTTGCGCGTTGCAAATAAGCGGGAATGCGAATGGCGGGTGCGCTAGTTCCAAATTTAATGTAATGTTCTTTGGTAATCCATTTCTTGAAAATATTACGCCTTCAAGGAGGATTCATTGCGTCCCAAAGAGGCGGAATCACAAACTTGTAAACTCTAAATGCATAACTATATTAAAGATAAAACAGTGCTCATCCACAGCCGTCTTATTTGAATCGAAGTTTAAATAAAAATAAAAATTCAAAGATTATGTTCGACTCCATAAAATCTATTTCTAGTAATAATATCACATTTAAACGAGAATGACAGGCTCTAAACTGAATTCAATTCATTCATTAATATAATTCTTTTGTAACATATTTTACTGCCAGAATTTTTTATACATTATGTTAATCAGTGAATAGCTAATTTTTGCACTCTTTTTACCTTTTTAATATTAAACACGCTAAACATTTGTTTTAGCTCTCTTTGTCATTAATATCTATGAAATCAAAATAATATTATACATTACATACATAATCCAAAAGACACATCATTGCTGTTAAAAAGCTGTTATTTTAGCTGTCAATCGCTGATATCATACGAATGTTCCAGGATCATGGATGTTTTTGGTGATTCAGACAGAGATCTAGAAAAAGAAGACTTATCTAAACTTGTTTACACTGAAGCGGTCCTGAAGGAAACCATGAGACTCTATACAATGGGACCGGTTAGTCTGAGACATATCGAGGAGGATGTCAAACTTAGTGAGTGCCTGAATAAATGTTTAATTTCAAGTATCTAGTCGAAAACCTTTCATGTTCTGCGACTGAACTGCCTTGTTGAACTGAGCACGGGTTTTTTTGGCGGGAACTCGAGGAGTGAAGTTGTGTGATTTGTTTTACTTTGTCTATTTAGTGTTTCTTGAAGTTAAATGTGTAATAACGGTAGTTTATGAACAATATAGTATTTGCGAAAGTGAACAAATGTGGGAAAATGAAATAAAGCCGTTGAACGTTACTTCTCGGGATCCTCCAAAAAGTCCACTGAAAAAGTCTTAGTAAATTACCACCATTTTACTGAGATTATTTTTCATACCATATCATCTCATCTCATTTCAGTTTATTTCGTTTTCATTTCATTTCGTTTCGTTCAAAAAACTGATTACTTGACGCTGGCTAATACACAAACCGTGCCGGAGCCGAAAAATAAAGAAGAAGAAGAAGACCTGACCATTTTAGATGGAGCTGGCATAGCCTCTCGAGACTACCAACATATAAAGGCAAAAAAAAGCACCAGTAGACCGCGGTGTGTGAGGTTTAGGGTCTGGCGAGAGAGACCCAAAGAGACGTAAGTGTAAGTTGTCACGCGTCTTAAGAAAGACAAACTGGTGACGGATGATCGCCTTCTTAAAATATCATCACTCCTTGCCCACGGGCTGTTGCTAGTTCACTAATTGAGACTAAATATGTGCCTATGAGATAGTTTTTTTTAAATCTTAATTGTATAAAAATACGAAATAATCTTATACTTTATTAAACGGTTTGTTTTAGAAAATTTTACACTTAAAGCTGGAACTGATTGCTCGATATCATTGTTTGGTATAAATCGCCACACAGTGTGGGGTGAAGACGTTAACGAATTCAAGCCTGAACGATGGTTGGATCCCCAGAAAATACCTGATAACGCCTTTGCGGCTTTCAGTATTGGCAAACGAAGTTGCACTGGTGAGTACCTATATTTGACTACATTATTTTGTATTGAAACATCAACACTTTATTTACTTAAGTCGTTATTCACGAAATGTTTATTATAGTAAATTTTAGTTTTATACCATTTTTTGTAGCAGTACCCAACATTTTTTGTCTATTCTTTTTTGTTTTTTTGGTTAATTTCTTGTTTAGACGGCTGAACGAGTTCACGGTCCAGCTGATCTTGAATGGTTACACGAGAGCCCATAGACTTCACCACGTAAACTGCCGCCACTCGACTAAAGCAATTATAGAAATTAATGGCTATACTACCCTTCAAGACGGGTTTGTGCTTCCGTGGCCGCTGAAGGCAGGGTGGTGTTATTCGCCGCTGCGAGCTCATAATATGCCCTACCACCAGTGTTTTACTGATAAGTAAGTAAGTCAAGGTGGGTGGCGCGTTAACGTTGTAGATGTCTATGGGCTCCAGTAACCACTTAACACCAGGTGGGCTGTGAGCTCGTCCACCCATATAAGCAATAAAAAAAAAGTCATAATTACTCATCGAGTACCTACTTTAGCTTAATTACTTGTTCCAATAGGCAGAGCGTACGCCTTGACGCTGATGAAAATAAATCTAGCGCACCTTCTACGGAAGTACAAAATCAGTGGTGATGTAAGCAAGTTAGATTTCAAGTTCAACTTTATCATAAAACCGATATCAGGAAGTGAAATTGGGCTGGAATACAGAAAATAATAATTTGATAAAGAAAAAAAATGGTGTGGGTTTATTTATTAAATTTAATATCAAAACCGATTTGTTGTAGTTTTATTTAAGTAAACTCTCTTATATTATGACCCTACAGACACAGGTCACTGAGTTTCTCGCCGGATCTTCTCAGTGGGTCGCGTTTCCGATCCGGTGGTAGATTCTGGGAACCACTGCTCTTACTAAGGCTAGTGTTAGCAACGTCCTCAGGTTAGAGCCCCGTGATCTCACCAGGCAGGTTACGCTGGCATAACCCTCTAACGTTACCAGCTTAGGAATATATATACATATTATATTAAATTTTGAAATCTCAATAGCTCTCCTGTAAAGTAGCAAAAATGCCCCTTAAACCAAATAGCTTTTCACCCCTCGATATACCTATACCATATTAAGATCAATCTAGAAATGTTTACGAGACAAAAACAATTACAACACGAAATGATGGGCCAACTACCTAAATGCTATCAGTGTCATTCGCGAAACAGCTACTCTTGAATTGTTAAGTCTCCTTTGGAGGCGCTCGGGTAGCTGGTAGCAAATCCCACTCTTCCTGGCTGAGCCCTTGCTCGCTCACCTGCCCTGGTAAAACTGGAAAGGCCTCTGGGCCACCAGTAATCTCTCAAACATAAAAAAGGTTAGGTACCTATCAGTTTTTAAGGAAAAAAATTTATTCATAATTGAGCATTATAACAATGTTATTTATTTAGCCTTGGTGTAGACAAGAAACATCGCAAAGACGGCCAATCGCAATCAAGGGACTCTAGTCGGCGTGGCAGGTTCTAATCTTTAGGTATATAAAATGGTTTATTATTAGGAGCCATAAATTACGTCACACGAATTTTAGCACTTTTTAACCTGTGTGTTTTAAATGTGAGGTCACATATTTTTCATATTTATGCTTGTACTTAATATTAGTGAAAAGAAAAGAAGTCGTCGTGGCCTAAGAGATAAGACGTCCCGTGAATTTGTGTTGAGCGATGCACCTGTGTTCGAATCCCAAGCGGGTACCAATTTTTCTAATGAATTACGTACCTACTCAACAAATGTTCACGATTGACTTCCACGGTGAAGGAATAACATCGTGTAATAAAAGTGAAACCCGCAAAATTATAATTTTCGTAATTGCTGGTGGTAGGACCTCTTGTGAGTCCGCGCGGGTAGGTACCACCGCCCTGCCTATTTCTGCCGTGAAACAGTAATGCGTTTCGGTTTGAAAGGTGGGGCAGCCGTTGTAACTACACTGAGATCTTAGAACTTATATCTCAAGGTGAGTGGCGCATTTACGTTGTAGATGTCCATGGGCTCCAGTAACCACTTAACACCAGGTGGGCTGTGAGCTTGTCTACCCATCTAAGCACTAAAAAAAAAGAGTTATTTTCGTTTTCTTCTTATTTTTATTAATTATTATTTAATCAAGTCAACATACCTTAGTCAAATATGTTAGATAACAGAGAAAGGAGCTGACTTTTTAGTAAGTTTTTTAAATCTTAAATCGTCACGTAACACTTGTGACCCCCGGCCCTATGTCACACAATATCACATTCTGTTGATAACCTGCCCCATAACGTGTGACGTAATTTATGGATGACGTGATCTGGAGTGATGTCAAGGAGCAAGCTCAAGACAGGGTCAAGTGGAGACGCAAGCTCAAGACAGGGTCAAGTGGAGACAACTTGTGAGGGCCCTATGTACCAGCAGGGTGCCCTAGGACTACAACAACAACAACAACAACAACAATCTGTTATGGCTATAACTGCCATAAAAACTAGAAACTAACAAAAAGAAAACTAGTAAAATAAATGTGATATTTTATAAACAGTTATTTATTTCACGAAAATGTCAATACATAGATAATTTTGTTTATTAAAAATGTTCTCATTTCTCAACGATTTGGTTAATCAGTTTTTAATATGCTTACTTTAGACTACACTTTGCAGTCAGTAATCGATCATTGATTGCTAATCTAGACTTAGAGATACATGATTAATTTTCTTGAAAATTGAGAAGAAACTGAACACTACTATAGTTTTGCTTAACATAAATAATTGCCTTCTTTAAAAAATGGCAGTGTTACATTATAATAAAATTATTAAATTTCAAGTACCTATGCAGTTTGCAGGAGGCAGTGTGTAGACTCTACAGCCATGCCTATCTTTGCCACAGAATAATAGTGGCTAGGACATTCTATCACTTCAAATCAGGTGGGCTGTGCATTTGTGCACACAACTTTCAAAATAACATTGAAAGTATTGGTTATCAAATGTCTGAAACTCTGCCATAGGTTAAATAGAATTTAATGATGAATTAATATATAATTAAATTTTTTAATTATTATAGAATCTTTCAAACCTTTAAACCAGCCCTTTATTCTCTTGACACTAAACTATTCAGTCTTTCTAACATATTCAAATATCTTAAAATTTATAAAATAAATTCATTAATTGATTGCATGAACCAAATTAAGTGCAATCAAAACATGCAAATTCACACTAATTAGTGTCTTTCGAGAATTGAATTATTTACACTCCTCTTGTTTTTCATGGATCATCATCAGAATCTAGGCCTTCATCAGAGGAATCTTCAGAAGAACTATCATCACTTGAGTCCGTTGAGCTGTCAGTGTCATCATCACTCTCATCAAGGTATGGAGCAATATTCTTTTTCAGTCCCGGTAGTAAAGACATGGAAGCCATTTGGACGGCCATCTCATTCTCCATGATTTCAGTTTCTTCCTGTTTAACCATTTCAGCAGCCATTTCCAATTCATCTAACTCTAAGTTCAAATCTTTTTTACAGAGCTCAATATTAGCTATATTATTGCATATTTCCATGATTTCCTCATTACGACATTTTTGTAAGAACACCAAATAGTCTTTGATATAAAGCTGGTTTAAGATATAACGTGCATCATTACTAGTGTTGAACATTTGATGTACTTCAATCATACATTTTATTACCAATTTCTTGCCTTTACGTAATAGTGATACTAGATCATTCTTTACTTTGTTACACAGCTCATAGTTCCTAAATATCGGATAAGTGAGTGCTCTCCTGTAGCATGCAATCAAAACATGTCTTGTATCTAAGAAAGTGCAGAACCAACTTAGTGTTGAAGAAAGCTTGTTTATGGTCCAGCTTGACTCCACTGTGCTTTCATTTAATGTTGTTCTTTTGTCGTAGCAATACCCAAACAAGATATCTATTAATCCGAGCATAATTTCTCTATACTCTTCTTTGCTTAGCAAATAATGCTTGTTTGGCAATTCTTTTAATATGGCTACTTCTTCATCTGTAAATTCTACTTCATTTTTGAAATCCCCTTTGTCCCAATAAGAAGTGGATGATAAGTAGGGTGCAAGAAGTTCATCATCAAAAAAGTCTGCTAGATAATGATCAGACGAGAATTTATCATTTTCATGTTTCATCCTCATAGAATTACGTTCGTCCACAGCAACATTTTCAGGTGCTTTTAATTCAAAAATTTGTGGAAATTCATTTCCGATGCTGCAAAATTCATTGGATATTTTATTAGCAAAGCCATATGTGAATTTTTCTAAGTTCTCACTGTCACTATCATTTTCCAGGGTAATTCCATCTTCTTCAAGCATTTCAACTAGATTAGGATTGACATCTGGTATATCACGAGGTGCTAGTAAATTTGTGATCATATCAAGGTTCTCAAAATGTTCCCCGGCAGTTTCTTTTTCAAATGTGAGATTGAAGTCTCCCGAATCACAAGTGTATGAACCTTTTGCCCGATCATCATCAACGATCCTGCCAGGTAATCGCAATCGAAGGAAGTAAGGACTAGACACAAAAAGGAAATTTTCGCCATCAACATCTATTTCTGTATCTCCAATGTTTGTATACGGTGCGTGAACTGTTACGAATATGTGGTTGTCGTCTTGCGTTAATTTAAAACGTGGAGTAAGCATGATGTATACTATTGATCTTCTAGTCAGGCACCAACTGCCTTTGTTTAGTATTAAAACTGATTGCGATGCAGTCAAACAATGGACTGATTCACAAAAAAGTAACAAGTTCGTTACTTCGGTACCGTGGACTTGATATATCTTAAGATTTAACCCTCATAAAATAATTAGGTAGAAGCTATTTCGTTAACAAACAATGAAACAACGCATGGTAATCCCCCTCCGGCATAACGGAAACATCCGTTTGACATTTGTCATTTACATTTGACATTTACACTAATCACTGAAGATGCGCGATACGTATCGACATTATCGAGTATCGATGTAGTGTTACGCGGTGCACGAAATTTTGTTTCGATAGAGTATCGAACAATGCTATAGCAATGCATATCGAATCCAACGTTGATTATATGATGATGCATAATCACCAGTTTTCAGAACTATTTAAACTTCACTATGATTATAACCGATACGTGAATATTTTAAGGTTGCATCAGAACGCTACGTCGACAAAGGGCCCGACTAACCCACTTATCGTAGTCACTGCCAGTTACTTTTACGATCCAGGTGACGGCGCAACTTATAGCCGCTGTCATTCCAAAGATGCCTTGTCGGATCGCCCGAATCCACTCCAGGTGCTTTCAGGCTCTTCAAGCAACGGTCACCGTTTTCATGAAACCTCAATTTCGACGAACAGTTCGACGACTGAACTAACCCATAGAAATATCCCATTGAGTTTCTCGCCGGATCTTCTCAGTGGGTCACGATTCCGATCTAGTACTATATTCTGCGAAGTGCTGCTCTTGCAGCACTAGTTTTATCTTGTTTTAACACTAGTGTTAGGTGTAAAATTCTCTTAGGTTGAGCCCATGAGCTCACCTACCCATCTGTACATAGCTATAATAGCCCTTTAAGCTGAAAGGACAATGCTTTAAAATGGTCGTATCGGTCTTTGAGACTAGTAGTAGGATCCAAGCTAAGAACATAATTATCGTCATTTATTAATTGACGCGACGTCGTTGCTTTTGGAATGCTTATTTTCTACAACAGAAAAAGGTAAACGGTCTCGATATTTAGTTTATTTTATTTTATAAGCACTATTTGTAAAAAGGAAAACATCGTCTTCATCAATAAAAATTGCCATTTTTGGCCATCTCTACTTAAAACCAGAGTATGTCAAACTTATTTTTATTTCTTTATTCACTCTTGATTATGCAAAGGAAACATAAGCTATAGATACCGTGCAGAGTTACATGAAATGAAATAACATCTCAGTAATTTGGTAGGAAATTATAAGAAGTTCAATGCAGTTGAATGAATTTGAAAGAACACTACAAACAGCGTTCCGTGATTTTGTTTCAAAATTGTGCATTTTCTTAAATACTAAACGTTTAATAAGAAACTAATATTACACGTTTACAAGATGCACCAAATAACATAACATAATCATAATAATAACAAAATAAAACAATTCAGATTATTTCCTCGAGTTCCTAGCTAGAATTCTTAATAGTTTTTCATTTTGTTGAAAGTAAAGTACATACTAAATGCAACATTTCAACTGCAATTGAAACATTTCAAGTATACTTTGCTACTGAAAGAAATATACGTAAGGTTGAAACCAAAATGAAAGTAACAATTAAACTGGAATGAAACGAAATTAATTTTATCAACTTCTTGGCAAGACTCAAAAATAAAATCACTATATAAATAGAAATATGTACTATGTTTGAGCCTCTTAACCTTTTTATAATTCTAATACTTTGAGTCCACATTGTATGCTTTCGTCAAAAAAGAAACCAATATTGACTTCCTGATCAATTTATCACAGCAAGTGGGTCACGATGTCCTAATCCATAATACTTATTCTTTGCATATACGATTAAGGCAATTAGGAATGATAGTTCGCTTGAATGCTAAAATAAATTAATACCTACAATGTCGTTGTTTTTTTGAGAATTTGGATAAAAATATACATATTACTATTTCATAGCACTTTTATCTGAGCAAGGTCACATAAATGTTACTTAAATTGTATTGTAAAATGATTTTTTTTTATGGGTGGACGAGCTCACAGCCCACCTGGTGTTACGTGGTTACTGGACCCCATAGATATCTACGACGTAAAAGCGCCACCCAACTTGAGATATCAGTTCTAAGGTCTCAAGTATAGTTACAACGGCTGCCCCACCCTTCAAACCGAAACGCATTACTGCTTCACGGCAGAAATAAGCAGGTTAGTGGTATCTACCCGCGCGGATTCACAAGAAGGCCTACCACCAGTAACAACAGTACACAGTTGTAAAATATTTGAATTACTGCCACTATTATTTTTGTAGATAAAATTGATTGTCTTGATTTTAATTTCTGAATTTCCATGAACTTAGGTCAATAACCGGAATAAGCAAGTTTCAAATAGAACAAGCTGCTACAAAATGAAAATTAGGAGAACCGAAAATAAACAAGGAATCCCTTGTCGAAAAGTTTGTCTATTTTCAGAACACGTTAGTTTTTTTCTTAAATGAGTGCATGCGTGTGTGGGCGATCGCGTAGGACTTAAATTTAATCATAATCCACACACACGGTAACTTTCTACAATATAGAATCACGTTTACAGTTTACACCATTAAAGCATAGTACCTAGGGAGACAGTCAACTGAGTCAAGTAAAAGTGCTATTTAAATTAAGTGTGAGAGTATAATTTTAAAACATGCATTTAGGTTTTATTTAAATTATGTTTCCATGAATTTGCAGTTGCAAAATTTTCCCAAGTCAAATTTTAATGACATTGACAATTGACACAAGCATTGAGATTGAAGCAAAAAATTGCGAACCGTCTGTGCGTTTCTTACTAATTTTCTAATCAAAACAAACAAATAAAACTATTTTTAGATAAAGCAACTATTGTGGATATATAAAATATATTGGAAACCTTTCATATTTTTGTGTTTTATAAATGAATTAAAAGGTAATGCCCGGGGGACGCAAACGGTGGAATTTACATGGTAAGTCAAAATTCTAAACTCAAAATTTAGGAGTTTATTGTAGGGGCACAATAATTAAATTTAACAATGATTGATGAATTAAGAAAACTGATTATGATAGCGAAAATTCATCATTAACACATTTTTAGTTTTCCGATTGACCTTGTGAATATTCAAATTTAGTAAAAATCGGTAACTATTTTATGCATTTATTTATTTAATTTTATAGTGTGAATTTTGCAGCTTAATATTAAATTGTTGTAAATAAACATTTGAACCCTGACCCCCGCATATATTTGCTTATTATTTATGTGTGTTGTCAGTAGTAAGTTTCTTACTTTAGAAAGCTTAAATATCACATCATCCATCCATTAACATCTTATTCTAGTCCTGTTGGACATATACTATTACCAAGTCTTTTTATGCAACCTGATTCTGGGCCTCATTTATAGCCATTGCCTGCTATTCCATGTATATCATCATTCCACCTTGTTACTAGGCACTGTACACTACACTGTAAGTGCATAGAAGTCTCATTGTTAAATCCTTTGCAGTTGTCTAAGATTACCATGGTTCTTTGCTGTGGTGGCTGAGACTAGACATATGACTGCAAACTGCAAAGGGTGCAGCTGTTTTAGTGGTACAATGAAAACATGCCACATCTTGAGACAATTTTCTTTTAAATAAATGTTTCCTTTATTCTGTATAATTTACTTATATATACTTCAAATGTCATACATAAAGAATGTACCTTTAATACTGTTGAAGAACGATCTTGTTTCAGATGGACCTCAAGGGTCACTACGTCGACTTAGGAATCAGTTAGCTGAGGATGGTTGTGCTGAATCTCAAGTGGTACTGGCTAAACAGCTCTTGGAAGAAAAATGTGGTGAGTGTAAATAGTACAAGGTATAAGAGATTACACTAAACAAAACATTGCCAAATATCAAAATGTCTTAACATAAATGGAAAATCATTATCAAATAATATGACATATTATTGGCCTGGAATTCATTCTCACACTATAACTCCAAGCCAGGTCTACTGTTGCATAACTAAAATAGTTCAGAAGGAGGTCAATGAGGCTAGAGCATGAACACAAATTTTGGTCATCATCTCTATTTATATATGTATATACATAATATCTATAGTGGGATCCTCTATTCAGATTGAGCTAATAAAACTGTTGATTGTTTCACACAAACTTGATTTGGATTCCATCTTTATTATAGCAAAATAAATAAAATATACATATCCTTCGTCTTCCGAGTAACAACATGTCTTCCATTCCATCGAGTAACTACCCTCAGTCCTTCTCTAGCTTAAAATAAAACGATATCTAAAACATCCATTCGCAGTCTTTCTTAGCTTTTAACAGGGCATCTCCTATCTCTCTCAGTCAGTCATACTCCATATCTCTTATTATCCATCTTACATACATATATAGTAATAATCCATATGTAATTAGCTGTTCTATGATTATTATAATTGTAATAATAAAATAAAAGAATAAAAAATAAATCTGAAAACAAAGTGAATAATTTAGACAAAAATATGGATAAAGTTAGTTCTAACGGCCGTCTGGTGTAGTGGTAAATGACATGGTCACTACACAAGGGGGTCGCGGGTTCGAATCCCGCCAAGGGAACATATTTGTATGATAAATATAAATGTCTTTTCCAGGGTTGTGGATGTATATTAAATATAATGTATGTGTATAATAAAAATCTTACATTTATATCCGTTATCTGGTACCTGTAACACAAGTTCTTTACAAACTTATCACGGGACCAGTTAACGTGGCGTGATTGTTAGTAATTATTTATTTATTTATTTATTATTATTATTTATTTATTTATATTTTTTACAGCTATTTACAATTTAATCATAAAGCTATTCTGTTGAGTGTGTTATTAAAATGTACTAAATTTATTTGAAACACAAAAAAAAGAGATGTTAAAATGGTTTGGATTTAACCTGCAATATTGATGTAATCATCACGTATTGTATTTCCTCCAATTGCACAAAGATATTTGAACAGATGTAGACTGAAATGATTGCTTAATAATTCTTATTAAACTCAATGAAGTAGGTATAAAACTTTCGATTTGACATTGCTCTGAAGTGAAGTTATTTAAATTTTACGTAATTACTGGTGATAGGGCGTCGTGTTAGTCTACACGAGTAGGTCCCACCAGGTAGGTGCCACCCTGCCTGTATCTGCGGCGAAGCAGTAATGCGTTTCGGTTGAAGGCTGGGGCAGCCGTTGTACTGTAAAAATGGAGACCTTAGAACTCATGTCTCAAGGTGGGTGACGGCGCTTACGTTGTAGATGTCTATGGGCTCGAGTTACCACTTGACACCAGATGGGCCGTGAGCTCGTCCAACCATTAATAAATAAAGAAAGGCCTAAAAAAGGTCTAATAATGCGTCGCTAAACCAACTTTAAGCTTGTTCGAGTTGGTAAATAAAAATAAAATGTTTCAGAGCTTGAGGCTGACAAGATATCAAATTTCAAACAGGCTTTAGAATGGCTCATATGCGCAACGGAACAAGCACACCCGGAAGCAAGGAGGCTTTTAAGAAGGTTAGTATAAATTTTTTTTTGAAGGCTCCAAAAAAACTTTTGTTAATAAATTTTTTTATATTTTATTGAAGACTAGCGACCCGCCCTGGCTTCGCTTCGGTAACATTAAATTTTATAATTGAGCCCGAGTGAGTCGCGCGATGTCCCGCGACGTTACCCGCGGTTATTGTCGTATCGCGGGTGACGCTGCGGGGCGAAGCTAGTCTAAAAAAGTAGCCTGAGTTACTCCTTATGTTATTAGCTACCTACCAGTGAAAGTCCCGTCAAAATCGGTCCAGCCGTTCCAGAGATTGGTCGGAACAAACAGACAGACAGATAGACAGACAGACACACCAAAATTGTAAAAAATGTTATTTTGGTGTATGAACCGTATATATATTCATATGCATGTAGTAAAAAGAGGCTATTTCAATATTACAAACAGACACTCCAATTTTATTTATATGTATAGATTTGACGGTACTTAACACAATATTCAAATGTTGACAAGTAACACCCGAGTCGTCCATGAAATGCCCACGAGAACTGTAAATCAAATCAAATCAAATCAAATCAAATCAAATCAAAAAAGTTTTATTCAACATAAATGAAAGTACATACTTATTGAACGTCAAAAGAATTACCGCCAATTCACAAGAATTAGCCTCCGTCCTGAGAAGAATTGGCAAGAAACTCAGCGGGCATGTTTTTTTTTTTTTTAATATTAGATTTTTATTTTTATATTAAATATTTTTTTTTTTTAATATTCATATTACAATAAGTAATTATAACATAACAATTTTACAATATTGAAATTCCCGGAGCGAGCAACTCATTCCCACTTTGTGCAATCTTCTAGATAATCATTGACTTTATAGTAAGCTTTATTGCACAGATGTTCTTTAATAGTTTTCTTAAACCTATCTATATGTAGGTTCTGAACATCTTGTGGGATTTTGTTGTACAGGCGCACAGACAAACACCCGAATGAATTTCGTATCTTATGTAACCTACTCATCGGCACAACAAGCTTGTGTTTGTTCCTAGTATTTCTATTATGTATGTCCGACATCTTAGGAAACTCCTCAATATGTTTACGAACATACATCAAATTTTCAAAAATGTACTGGGATGGCATAGTGAGAACTTTAATTTCTTTAAATTTCTCCCTCAGGGATTCCCTTGAGTGCATGTTATAAATAGCACGTATAGCTCTTTTCTGCAGAATAAATATCATTTCTACATCGGCCGCATTGCCCCATAGCAAAATGCCATAGGACATGACACTGTGGAAGTAACTAAAGTAAACTAAACGAGCCGTGTCCGCGTTTGTTAACATTCTAATTTTTTTTACTGCGTATGCTGCAGAGCTGAGCTTACTCGCCAATTTATGAATATGAGGTCCCCATTGCAGTTTGGAGTCCACTGTTATACCAAGAAATACGGTTGACTCAACAAGCTCCAATGATTCCTCAGAAACAATTACATCACTATCCACTTGTCTCACATTTAAAGATGGTTTAATACATTTTAAAGTAAATTTAATACATTTAGTTTTCTTACTATTCAATAATAGGTTATTGATACGGAACCAATGAACCACACACGAAATCGCATCATTCACTTCGTCATAGACTTGTAATTGTCGTTTAATTTTAAATAATAAAGATGTATCATCTGCGAATAATACGACCTCGTGTCGGGACTCAATAAAACTAGGCAAATCGTTTATATATATTAGAAATAAAAAAGGACCCAAAATGGAACCCTGAGGTACACCCATTTTTAACGTGGTGCCTGAAGATCTATTTCCTTTCACATCTACTGTTTGTATCCTTCCTGATAAATAGGAAGTAATAAGTTCCAATGCACCATCCCTAATACCATAGTGATGTAGTTTCCTCACCAATGTTTCATGTTCAACACAGGTAAGTAAGGTATTCGTAATGTCGGTAATAATAAACGCGATATTAAAACCGTGCAACTAGTCTCAATTATGAATAGAGTGCGGAAAAGCTGGTATATAAGTAAATAAAAATGATGTTTTGTCGCACACGCACGATATGTAATATAATATGTTTGAGGGAGTCTGAAAGTGGCACCTGTGACAGAGAAGTTGAGAAGTGCGCGATGGTATCGACATGTGATGAGACGAAATGAAAACGAGGTTGGTAAGAGAGTGTTAACTATAAATGTGGAAGGATATAGAGGAAAAGGTAGACCCAAGAAGAAATGGATGGATTGGGTGAAAGACGATATGTGTAAGAGGGGAGTGAGCGAAGAAATGGTAGATGATAGAGGAGTATAAAAAGAGAAAACATGTTGCGCCGACCTCAGGTGACTGGGAGAAGGGCAAGAGAATGATGTTTTGTTCGCACAAGCTAGAAGTGAATGCTTCAGAAGTATTCTATCTCATTCTCGTAGATCCAATAGATATGGTTGTCTCTTTTCAGTGTTATTTCCGTTTCTTTGATTTTCAAATTACAAAAGCGTTAAAGAAGTTTTTACTTTAAAAAAAAAACATAAATTCACTGTCTAATCAACGGATTAATCAAAACTGTCATGTGTCATAAAGCATTTTCATGTCGTTTGTTAAAGAATAATAATGTTTTTTTTTCTAAATTCGTCTGACCACTGTGAACAATGAAATGAGGTAATTGCTTTGAATATCTCGCATAGCTTAAAAATAAACAAACAAACAACTCGATTATATTGAGTTGTTGTTTGAGAGATGTTCATTGCACGATGTAGTGGACATACCGCCAGCATTGTTCAAACACAAACATATTTATTATTTTTAATAGCGTAAAGTATAAATGAACTTCGATAGTAATGACTTTGTCGTGTGGAAGATTAAATGGGGCAGAGTACATGAGGAACTACAGCGTTCTACGTGAGGTTTTTTTTCTTAAATAATAGAATTTTTCCCAATCTTTTAATTTACGTCATTGGCTAAAAGTAAACGCTATTGCCAAAAGAAGAAAAAAAAAGAATTTCTAAAATAATAGAAATGTCACACAGTAAAATAATAGCGAAAATTAGGCAGGTACATAAATGCCTTGCATAAAATATTGGTATACGTGTGATATATGGCTTATTAACTCAGTCTATAATATACTCTGTCTGTCTATATATGTCACGGAATCTCAATGTAATTGTTACCAACTTAACGATATCAGATTAACACGAAAATTTGTACACGTCATTTTGTTGTTGTAGTCTAATAAACAGTTTAATAGAAAATAACCTTGAAATATGGCTTGTGTTTTAATTTTTATTTATTGCTAAGATGGGCGGACAAACTCTCAGTCCAAGCGGTGGTGTGTGGTTACTGGAGCCCATAGACATCAACAACGTAAATGCCACCATTTACCTCGAAACGTGAGTCTTAGTTTTATAGGCTGCCCGACACCTCAAACCGAAACGCGTTACTGCTTCAGTTTAGTGCGAGCTGCAGTTTAGTTTGGCTATTAAAGCATTCATTTGAGAAAAGCTCATTGCATTTTTAATTGAATATGTAATTTCGAAAAGGGCAGATCTCTTAAAATGTAAAATAATGTTCAGGAAATGAAAAAAACTGATTATTTTCTAAAGCAGTGTAAAATTTAAAATATTAGCTTTTGAGATATATTTTAGTCTTAATTAGCAATTGAAAATTACTGGAATTATTATAAAATGGGTGTAGGTAAGCCTCAAAACTACATGTATATGAAAAAACGTATTTAACAAAATATGCGACATGTGCCCTTTTCGAATTTGCATATTCCATTACGATCTAGAGTTCATAGTCGTCCCGTGTCTTATTTTGTAGCTACAGTAAGCGCTAGGATTGACTTGAGATAGAATAACGTTGATTATCTCAAATTTGCATGGTACCGATCTTTTTGGTATGAGATTGGACGTCCCAATTGTATTCGCAGGTGTATCCGTAGCGGCGTCATAGATGAGGACAGCGCAGCGATAGTACGTGCCAAGTCTTGTCTGGCGGCTAGCAGACAGGAGACAGTCGCTAGGAAAGCGGCTAGAGATCTATTTGCCAGGTAAAATAACTTCACTGAAAACGTTGCCCCCGATCTAATCGTATACCCACGACGTTTTCCGATTATCATAAGCCGCTTTTAAAAGAATTGTGAAATTAAAACTTCATTTTATAGTGGCCTTTTTATTTTTGTTGCTTCGATTTGTGAACGAGCTCATAGCCTATCTGATGTTGATTGGTTACTGGAGCCTATAGACATATACAACGTAAATGCGCCAACCACCTTGAGATATAAGTTCTAAGGTCTCAGTATAGTTACAACGGCTGCCCCACCCTTCAAACCGAAACGCATTACTGCTTCAATAGGCAGAAATAGGCGGGGTAGTGGTACCTACCCGTGCGGACTCACAAGAGGTCCTACCACCAGTAATTACGCAAATTATAATTTTACGGGTTTGATTTTTATTACACGACCTTATTACTTCACTGTGGAATTCAATCGTGAACGTTTGTTAAGTACGTATTTCATTAGAAAAATTGGTACCCGCCTGCGGGATTCGAACACCATTGCATCGTTAGATACGAATGTACCGGACTTCTTATCCTTTAGGCCACGACGACTTGGCCTGATAACGTTCTGCTCTTAGGCGGTAAAAATGAATCCATTATCAACCGACACCAATCAATATAGGTAGATAGGGATATATCGCATCATATTAGGGGGTTACATTTTTCTATTAGTTTTATTATCTGTTCGTAGTTTGTCGAATGGTGAACAATACATAACAACGGTTCAACTCGAACGTCGGATAAGAGAGATTTGCAATACGACGTTACGGAAGACAGCGGCCGAAGACAGCGATTCTCCTGACGACGATAACTCAGGTACTATGAACCATCCAGTCGTAACTCGTGACAGGACCCGTCCGTACCATAGCGGTAGGCAGCGGCTTGGCTCTGCCCCTGGCATTGCTGAAGTCCATGGGCGACGGTAACCACTCACCATCAGGTGGGCCGTATGCTCGTCTGCCTATTACAAGAGAAATGAAAAAAAAAATTACGCATAAAACTCTGATTTACATCTAATATATAAAATTCTCGTGTCACAGTTTTCGTTGCCATACTCCTCCGAAACGGCTTGACCGATTTTGATGAAATTTTTTGTGCTTATCCGGTATCTATGAGAATCGGCCAACATCTATTTTTCATCCCCATAAATGTTAGGGGTAGTCCACCCCTAAATTTATTTTTTAATTTTTTAGACAATTTTTTTTGTTTTTATTTTTTTATGATACAGCATACAAAAATACATACAACCCTAAATTTTCACCCCTCTACGATCAACCCTTATTTTTTATTTGTTAATTAAAAACTAAATTTTTTTGCAAGAATTTTGTTTTTATTTTGTCATGACTTAGAATAAAAAATTTCATATTACTCTGAAATTTTCACNCCCTCTACGATCAACCCTTATTTTTTATTTGTTAATTAAAAACTAAATTTTTTTGCAAGAATTTTGTTTTTATTTTGTCATGACTTAGAATAAAAAATTTCATATTACTCTGAAATTTTCACCCTCTACGATCAACCCCTATTTTTTATTTGTTAATTATAAATTTTAAATTTTTTGGCAAGATTTTATTTTTTATTTTGTCATGACTTGAAATAAAAAAAAATATATTACTCTCAATTTTCACTCTTATACGATCAACCCCTATTTTTCCATCCCGATTTTTATTTTTTTTATTCTATGCACAGATCCGCAATAAGGTTGCAAGATGGCAATCAAATATTATAATTGTAGTATGATAAATTGTTATTCAGAGTTTATAATTTCAAGTTCCTTTAATTATGTTTTTTTTTTTTAATTCAATTTGATCTCCTGCCCTCGCCGGTCGACTACTGATCAACTATCAATCGATCAGTTATCCCCGCCAGGTGTCACCAATCATCCAGCAAACATCACGTAGTAGGGATGAGGACGAATCCGGTCTCCTGTCTTACTCACTATACATTTTTCAGCCATGTTTCTTTGGTTTTATTTGTGTATCAATAGTATTGTCAGTAGGTCTGAGAATCGGCTATTATCTATATTTCATACCCCTAAGTGATAAGGGTTGTTCACCCCAAACATATTTTTTTTATAATTTTTTTTTTGGTTATCATGAGGTATAGTCCCCAGCGCGTAACTTGGCAAGAGTCGCTAGATGCGCAGAAGTCGTTTTTTAGGTCTCTTTGGTTGTCAAGCGGGACGCGGGGAAAGACGTAGCACCGTTCCGAGCGCGCGATTGGTGAGTCAGTGGACTCTCCCCTCCCGCACCGCGTCAACGTTCCGTTCGCTCCCGGTTACACATGTGCCTACTAAAGTTGTAGGAACCCTTTGTTTATATTCAGTTTTTGTTACGAGTGTTATTGTTTTAAATTTGTTTGCAATGGCAGGACCAAATACCAATGACCATAATTATAGTCGATTCAGTCACTGAGCGTTTTATTATTTACGCCAGTGACGACAGTGACTCTTCGTTATGTCGACGATGAGGAGCCAACTCCTTCCACCAGCTCAGGTCCTACCATAAATTTAATCCAAGGGGTAGCACTATTAGAAAATGATAGTGACGACGGCGACACATAATTTTTAATATTAAGTATATTTTGTTAAATAAACTTTTTAACTTTTAATTCTATTTTATTTATAACACCTAATACACTACACGAATTCCTCTCTTTTCTTTAACTTTCTTCTAAACACACAGGCTTAAAAATAAATTATGGCAAATAAAAAATTTAATAAAATAAAATTAACATATATGCGGGCCATAAAAGTGACCATTTTTTTGTTGCAATGTACACTATGCGCGACTTTACCCCCACTACACCAAAACCTTGCCAACTTACGTGCCGCTTACTATATTATGTGGTTGAATGAGGTTTTTGAGAATTTTATATATTAGACTATAATTTCCCTAGAAATCTTATTTAAGGCAACACAACGTTTGCCGGGTCAGCTAGTTTAAATATAAACATAAAATCAATAAAGACTTTGCCAAGTTAATGTTATTAAGGATGGTTACTCTATTGACGTAATTAACACGATGCTAATTCATGTTGCTTGTTCAACCTTAAATTTGGTATTAATTGCATATAAATAATAATGATTTATATTCCAAATCGCTAAATATCAATTAACGTTAACATATTTACGTTAAGGTAATTACAAATTACATGTGGCTAATAGTTGTATTTTCATTTATAATCTATAGTTTGCTTGTTGTATATTTTGGCCCCAAATGACGTCACATCTAAAGTTGCTAAAGTTGCGTTCGGCTGAGTATTTTAAAGTGGGAGCGGGTAATGTTTAAAACTAAGGACTTTTCGGTTCTGCTGTTTTACCTAAAATTTTCGGTTCATCTGTGTAATAATTACTAATTTGATACTTCATTATTCACTGCGCGAAAAAGTATGTCTGATTTTTTATTTGCAGAAGCGGCAAATGCGCTAGACGATGCCGCACAAGCATTAGAACCATCTGACCTACAAGCTGGCGATCACATAAACAGTAATGGAACGCTGCGTACCTCACATGACCTCGAAGAAGGTAATTAACGATACAGCTTCTAATAGGACATTCTAGAATGATTCACGGGTTATAACCGCCCTGAGTCAAATAGTTTTCACTTTAGGAACACCGAAATATTGGAATAATCAACGAAATATCTTAACAAAAGGGCTTTATGGTAGAATTAATTGAAATATTAGCAATAAAAGCTTAATCGCCCTTAACTCGTAGAAAATTAAAGCAAAGGTAATTGCTGCCGAAAAACACAACCCATGGGGCCTCTTGGATTATATTTGGGCACTAAACGATCTACTTGTAAACTACTATATATAAAAGAGAAAAACCACTAACTCATCACGAGATTTAAGAGTCCATCCCTTCGATAGACTTTAATTTTGACTCATTAAGAACGGATTTTTCGCAGATCTTATCCAGAATTAATTTTTATATCGCACAATAGCAATACATAGCAATATGTTACTGTAGTAATGAGCTTGGCATGGACGATAAAAACCATAGTGAAGCAAGCGACTCTTTATCTCGGGGAAAAGTAACTTGGGTGAAACCGCTCGACAAGTCAAAAGTACATGATACAATAAAAGCATGACAAGATCATTCTTAGAACGTTGTGTTTTTTTTTCAGATGTACCTGACAGATGTTCGAATGAAGAGATACGTAACTTGACAGTTGACAATCTAGTATCGGCAGCGGTCGATTATTGTCAGGGCGAACTGCCTCTAGTCAGCTATGAATTGACCTTAACGGACCCTAGCGTTAAGTCTCTCGATCACATTCCATTGCTTCAACAAGCCTTTCTACATCCAATAGTTTTCTTACAAGTTTTATATCTCAAACTACTCTATTACTTTGGTTCGTTTTCGTTTAGATTATCCAACATAGAGCTGTCTTTAGTTCTAATAGCGTATCTATTCGTTAGTGCCGATAGTTTGTATCATTTAGTTCCGCTAGTCCTTTACTACGTCAGTTTCGTCGCCATGGTGATTTGCACGTTCAAAATGTTGCATGCGAAACGACAGTTTATCGATTTTCGTAAGTGGTCCGGTCTCTTCTTGAGGTACAGCGACGGTAATTTGCAACCAGACGAGTCTGAGAATTTGTTTGTACGCAACAATCTGGGTCCGTTCATTCAGTTCTTTGTGGCGTTGTTTGTGAATTTATTTTTATATCCCTTTATAGCAACACAATGGGTTCCGTTTTCTGAGCTCTGCGTGTTGTCCTTCTTTCTGATGTTCCTTACACTGTGTTCATTTGGAGCTAACGGGAACCCTTATCCGGACGTTTTAGCTCTAATTTCATTCGCCATTAACGTGCTGGCCAAATACCCCTACGAGAAGGATACAGTTGTACATCAGGGGTGGAGATTTTTAGATTTTCACATATCGAATTATCCGTCTTATGTCCTCGGGAATAGCATAGAGTTTTGTTTGAACGGTCGAATGTTCTTTTCGTTGTTGATACCGGTCATTTTGGTGTTGATGGCGCGCAGAAGCGATTGGCAGGGTTTTTTTAAACAAACGCTACCACATTGCGTGACTTTAAGCTGGTTGCAGATGTTCATAATGTCTTCACATGGCTGTACCACGTACGGATTGATTAGGGGGACATTGGCGTTAGTGTGTTCATTCCTATTTCTTCCATTAATCGGAGTGATGACCGTGACCTTGCCATTATTCGCGTTTCTGCAGTACATTACGTTGCCAAGGATTATTTATACGGCGACCATGGTGTTGAGCTTTGGCCTAAGTTTGGGCTTTACTTGTTTGCTGGCAAAGTCTGAAGCAACGAAGCGATTTGTCACTCCGTTTCAGGTAGGCATTTATTTGTAAATTTAATAATGATTAATTGGTTGATCGTATTATATTTTACCGATTGAATTAAGAATCAATTATTGAAAAAATCTTCTCATGGCTTACCGTGAGATTTTTTTGCGAAGTCTCTTAAAAAGTTCCGAGTATTGTATATGATTGTGTGTCCTGCTACTTTCTATCTTTAATGAATCAATGGGGTCTATTATGGAAAGCTAATGAATGGAGTTTTAATTTTTTTTTATTTTCAGCTCGTATTCGGTACATTAGCCATTATATACTTTGGGAACCAGTTCGTTTTGAACATACGCGATGACGGTCTCCCGTCAGGCCTTATCGAACTGTTGGCCGATGAGAAGCCGAGCATAAAGAACCTTCTAAAAAACGAATTCCTTAGCGAATACGAAGACAACAATTACCACATAAATTGGGACGATTATTACACTCACTGTAACAATCCATCTTGGACTGATTATAATATAGCCGCAACTCAAATCAAGTGTTCGGTACTAGAGGGCGCGAACGTCAACTGGGAAGGTTATGTCAAAGATGTCAGTTTATTAAACGTCAAAAATAAATGGAGGGACTTTGCGTATTGGTTGCCGGGTTTCTTGCAAGAGTACTTTAAGTGCTATTACGGCGAGGAGTATTCGAATGTGTGTCGAGGCTCGGACGGTGTTCAGTCTGTGGCGGAATGCGAATTCGTTAGCAGTGTTGCCAGGCAAAGCGGAAAGAGTTGCCATCTTGATAACTTGAATGAGTGAGTAAATTTCTTAATTTTAAACACTTCGTGGCGTTTTGATATTTTGCCAACAAAGGAAATTGGTAAGTGGTTGTCGTCGCTCATGGACATCAGCAATGCTGAACTTAAGTTAAGATTTTTTCAAACGTCGCTTGAACCAAATGTCAATCGACAGGTTGTTTTAAATTGTTATTTAAAGATATTTCACTTTAAGTATGAATAATAAATAGCCTTGACCAAAACTTAACAAAACACTACCATGTTATACGATGTATAGTAATTTAGCTTACTAATAAAATTTAAATGGATATTGACTTATTTGTTCGTGCTATAAATTATTGATTGAATCGAATGTTTGATTTGAAAATCTTGCTTTCGAGTATTTCACGGTTTGGTGGTAAACTTTTGTTTGTTTGATAAACATGTGAAATCGTCGTGGCCTACAGGATAAGTCGTCCGGTGCATTCGTATCGAGTGATGGACCGGTGTTCGAATCCCGCAGGCGGGTACCAATTTTTGTAATGAAATACGTACTTAACAAATGTTCACGATTGACTTCCACGGTGAACGAATAACATCGTGTAATAAAAATGAAACCCGCAAAAATATAATTTGCGTAATTACTGGTGGTAGGGCCTCTTGTGAGTCCGCACGGATAGGTACCACCGCCCTGCCTATTTCCGCCGTGAAGCAGTAATGCGTTTCGGTTTGAAGGGTGGGGCAGCCGTTGTAAATATACTTGAGACCTTAGAACTTATATCTCAAGGTGGGTGGCGCATTTACGTCGTAGATGTCTATGGGCTCCAGTAACCACTTAACACCAGGTGCGCTGTGAGCTCGTCCAACCATGTAAGCAATAAAAATAATAATAATTGAGGATTCTATCTCTTAATTCAAGAAGGTTGGCGGCATAGATGTTTCATCTGGTAGCTACTCAATACGCTATGATCATAACAAAATCTTAATGATTGTGTATTAAACAAATCAGTCTTAATCTTAAAAATCTACTTTCAGATACACGTATGAAGTGAAATTAATGATGGAAGCCAGTGGCGGTATTTTGAAGCGCCACGCGGAAATCGTCATACACTTTGGTCATTATTTTACGAATTTTACACGTTTACTGCGATCGGACGACAAGATACGTTTTAAAGGGACGCTTTCGAACGAAAACCGACCTTATAACATTGGCGCTAAGGACTTGACTATAAGGGGCTACGAAATTAACTGTTTGGAATGCAAAGAGGCGCGCGGCTCTGTGACTCTGAAGACGTCGTCCGCATCGAAATTCTCTGAGCTGTTTAAAACAATTGTGAATGATTGCGTTGTATCGACAAAGTATATTTTGAATTTCATGTTGAATCCTATAATTGTTTTCAAATAAATGTATTTATATGTTTGTTTCTTTGATTTTATTGATTTGTTGCCCCTTTAATTTTAAACCAGATTAATTTAAAATTAATCATACCAGTCACACTAAGAAAAATGTTCGGATCACAAGCTTCACTGTCCCCGCTCATAGCAATGTAGACGTGGTCTTGTTTTGGCATCCTCGCGACGCCACGCTACCCCTCCTTTGCCTTCAAATGACTATGAACTTTTTAATCACGTAGATAAGATTCAAAATAGTTTGTAATATTTTGCCTCAAAAAGACGCTGCCGGCCGCTGCTCTTTCAGTGGGAATTGACCCTAAGGCTTGTCTACTTTCGATAGTAGGCAGTGTGATCAGTTCGAGTTTTTTTACGTTCTCGATAGCGTAAAAGTTAACTCAAATTTGTATGGAGTTAGAATGTTTATCTACTTTTGCCGCTAGGGGCGCTGTCCCAACTGCATACAAATTTGAGTTAACTTTGACGCTATCGAGAACGAAAACAAAATGGAATTAAGACATTTAAAACTCGCTGCCGCATCTGATTTTGTCCTGTCTAAAATATGAATATTGAATTCGAATTGGTATAATTAACAAAAAAAATATATTTCAAAAACACAGAGTTTATTATTGTAATGCTTTATGAAATTACAACATTCTTAGTTTTTGTTTTCTCTGGCGCGTATTTAAATAGTTTTTTTTTTTTTTTTGGTAATCGAACACTGGAATAGGGGACTTATAACTGGCCATGTGAAAAATATGGATTTTCACAATTGATGCCACAAAAACTATTGAGATTTATTTATCGACACTGCCAATGCTTGCCGCAATAGAAATATTAGCCATTAATCGAACGGCATGTTGTTCTTTTATTAAAAAATTTAAGACCTGTATATTAAAATGTACATGTCAGTGTAGGCTATATACAACATAAACGATTAGCAGCGTATGCTTATGCCTTGAAACTATTTAAAAAATTGCGGCTTGAATCTTTATTAATTTGAAATAAACAAAGGCCGTCTGGTGTAGTGGTAAGTGGCATGGTCACTACACAAGGGGGTTGCGGGTTCGAATCCCGCCAAGGGAAGATATTTGTATGGTAACTATAAATGTCTTTTCCAGGGTTATGAATGTATATTAAATATATGTATGTGTATAATAAAAAATCTTACATTTATATCCGTGATCTGGTACCTGTAACACAAGTTCTTTACGAACTTATCACGGGACCAGTTAACGTGGCGTGATTGTTAATAAATATTTTAATATTTAATATTTAAAGATACATTTTACTAAAAGTTTCTGATTTTTCTGTCAACATTTTTTTATACGTTTTTTTCCTAAACTTGTAACCTACAGGGTTGTCGGCGTAACCGGGAAAATCGGTAAGCTCACGGGGCTCTAACCTGAGGACGTTGCTAAAACTAGCCCTAGCAAGAGCAGTGGTTCCCAGAATCTACCACCGTATCGGAAACACTCACTAAGAAGATCCAGCGATAAACTCGGCTGTGTCTGAGGGTTCGATAAATAAAACTCGCAATCATATTTTAAATTATCTTAATATCGTTGTTTGCTTTAAATTCAAAGGTAACGTCGAGACATCCGACGACTTCGTTATCATCACCGTTCCTCTGTAGTACTGTCGTGTGACAATGAAAAGATCCGTAGAGACCAGCATGAGGTAATTCTTCATAGCTAAACAGGTAGCCTGTAATTTTCTTTTCACACTGGAATCAAAATGGAACATTTATAATGTATACATGGCACGCTGTTAAGTCAAAATTAATGAAGCTCGCAATTCTGATACAGCATTGGACGGGTTAAAATATGTGATTTCCATAAACTTCATTCGTTGTACCTATTATGATACGTCTATTCCTAGACCGAGAATTAGACCCTAAGCTCGGTCTAATTCAATTTTTGTCCATTAGGTACGTCAGTCATGGATTCGAGTGTCTGTATTTGTATTTATTGTTCTATTTTTAGTTTATCTAATATATGAAATTCTCGTGTCACTTACCGGTTCTATCGGAAATCTGGCGGGTTCCACCCCTGCAGCGCTTAAAATTTTTTCCACGTTCTTTCCAATGTGATATTCTACAAATTTAGTGAAGCTCTCGTCTTTCAATACAGTAAAGGGCTTGCACCCACCGTCAACGAACTTACACACTTTGATTTCAATCTGAACACGAAAAATCATTTATTAGTGATTAAAAATATTATATTATTCGTAAGTAAGTGAATTTTAATAGATACAGTATTTAGATGTTTGGTAATTTGTTGTGAAGCAATTATGTGTACGTGTGTACCACCAAAATTGTAAAATAAATGCGTAAAATTAATTGAATTTACGTAAACAAAAAACAAAAAAACAACACTACTATTTCGTAGATAACACACATAAACTAGACTATTTATCGTATAATGTTCACGATTGACTTCCACGGTGAAGGAATAACATCGTGTAATAGAAACTAAACCCGCAAAATTATAATTTGCGTAATTACTGGTGGTAGGACCTCTTGTGAGTCCGCACGGGTAGGTACCACCGCCCCGCCTATTTCTGCCGTGAAGCAGTAATGCGTTTCGGTTTGAAGGGTGGGGCAGCCGTTGTGACTATACTGAGAACTTAGAACTGTATCTCAAGGTGTGTGGCGCATTTACGTTGTAGATGTCTATGGGCTCCANGTGAGTCCGCACGGGTAGGTACCACCGCCCCGCCTATTTCTGCCGTGAAGCAGTAATGCGTTTCGGTTTGAAGGGTGGGGCAGCCGTTGTGACTATACTGAGAACTTAGAACTGTATCTCAAGGTGTGTGGCGCATTTACGTTGTAGATGTCTATGGGCTCCAGTAACCACTTAACACCAGGTGGGCTGTGAGCTCGTCCACAAATCTAAGCAATAAAAAAAAAAAAAAAAAATTCATTTTTCGTAAAAAAAAAATTAAGATACCCGTCTCGAATTTTTGGATCATTGCAATAGTCTCGTTATTTTTCAATAGCCGTCATTTGTGTTCAATTAATAGCCTTTAAAAATCACTAACCAAAATTTTTTGTTAATTTTTATTGCCCATGTAGGCAGACGAGCATAAGGCCCACATGATCATGAGTGGTTACTGTCGCCCATGGACTTCAGCAATGCCAGGGGCAGAGCCAAGCCGCTGCCTACCGTTAAATAATTTCCACGCCTCGTTTGAAGAAGGTCATGTCATAGCGCTCGGGAAACACCGTGGAGGGGAGCTCATCCCAAAGCCGGATGGTACGTGGCAAAAAAGATCTCTGGAAACACACTGTGGATGAACGCAGTGGCTCTAGGTAGTATGGATGAATTCTACTCCGGTGGCGGGCGGTGCGATGGTAATTCGCAATCGTGGTTTTCGCATAGCAGGAACAAAATTTACGGAATAGTGTGCCATGGGAGCTAGGGCTTAGTGTGTCTAGGTGTGTCTATCCAATCATTGCAAGGAAGCAACAGAGCCACATAATGAAATGAAGGCCTCAATTTGCTGTCTCAATATGGCCGCATTCACTTTATTACGTCTATGCGCCATAGTAACTACTTGATGTGGATTGAACCCAAAATAATCATTACGAGTCAGGATTAATTCTCGTATTAGTAGCTGAATAGTGTATCTGAAAAAGAAACTGTTTCGCTTAAAAAAATTAAAAAAAATATTCAAACGAATATTATTAGTATTCTGATTTCGAGGGAAAAAAGCACCCTATATATTTACTCCATAGGAATCGTCTAGGCGTGTTTCGATTTTGAGGACGCCGTTGAACCCATCGTGCGTCCTGTTCATTTTCCTCCGGTGCAAGTCTAAGTTGAACAGATGCTGTTCATACCCTTCACACTGCTGTAAGTTCGTTACTCTGTAAGAACCGCGACCCTGGATATAGACAAGAAAAAAAAAAAAATATCGGTTGTCTGTAAAGTCGGTTTACTGACGGTAGTTGAACGTGACAACGTCATAAGAAAATAATGATGGAATTCATTTTTCAAAATTTTCTAATTTTTATTCGCTGAGGCGAGGTTTAACGCGTAGACCGATTGTGCCTCTTTGTCGCTCGTTGCCACCACCCTGCCTATTTGTGCTGTGAAGCAGTAATGCGTTTCCGTTTGAAAGATGGGGCAGCCGTTGTAACTAAACTGAGACCTTAGAACTTATATCTCAAGGTGGATGGCGGCACTTACGTTGTATCTCGCTTCTATCACTAATAAGTCTGCGATTGGCAGAAAAAAATGCGAGTCAAGTTTATTTTGACTCGAGAATATTGTAAACAGGTATCTTCTGTTATTAAGAAACATACTTTAACGGACATGGGTCGAACCGAATTCAGTGTTAGGTGGAATGACGGTGCAAATGCCCTTACCCGTTTTGAGGTACGAGATGAGGTCTCAAATAGCTACCTCCGTCAACGTGGACCATATGGTTTATGTTAGAATAAGGCAGAAACTTAGTACCATTTATTACGTGTTACGAACTTATGATAAAAATCAAATAAAAATTCTTACGATAATATTCTCCAAGCTCTGAACAGAAAAAAACGAAAAAACAAGTAAAATTAAACAAATCATTTTTATACCTTTCAACTGTAAAATGTATTGTCCGATCCCAAATATATAGTAAAGCGATATTTTGATTGAAAAGATAACACCTAGCGTGTTCCATTTTATTTATGTTTTGTAGTATCTAGATTATTCATGATTAAAATCTGTTAATGGAATAACATTGATAGTATGTGTAATTTGACGCGTATAGTTGTGTTATTTCACTTGTTTATATAGTTGTTGCAAAGTATGAGCACGTGTGGCCTTTATTTGTAGTTGTAATCGTAAATACACATTTTGCAGATTGCAGCCTTGATACACGAGGTGGCAATCTCAATTTTATTAAAGTCTGCCCCACAATTCAGACCGCAATGTATACACAAATTGAAGTCGTCGTGGTCTGAAGAATAAGACATCCGGTGCATTCGTATCTAACAATGCACCGGTGTTCGAATCCCGCAGGCGGGTACCAATTTTTCTAATGAAATACGTACCTACTTAAGAAATGTTCGCAATTGACTTCCACGGTGAAGGCATAACATCGTGTAATAAAAATCAAACCCGCAAAATAATAGTTTGCGTAATTGCTGGTGGTAGGACCCCTTGTGAGTCCGCACGAGTAGGTACCACCACCAAGCCTATTTTTGCCGTGAAACAGTAACAGCGTTTGGGTTTGAAAGGTGGGACAGCCGTTGTAATTATACTGAGACCTTAGAACTTATATCTCAAGGTGGTTGGCGCATTTACGTTGTATATGTCTATGGGCTCCAGTTACTACTTAACATCAGGTGGGCTGTGAACTCGTCCAACCATCTAAGCAATAAAAAATAAAATTATATTTTCTAGAAATATCTTTCACCGTCTAAAATTATAGCTATATCCTTTTCAAGCTACGTGAGTTTTTTATTTATTTTAATAATATTACACTTAATTTAGTTACCAGGTTACATAGATAAATTTTAATGTTTCACCTATTAAATCGCGTTTCAGATATGCTAAAAAGTAAATGAATTGTGTTCTTATTTCCATTAAAATACTGCCTATTTGAGTATGGCTGATTGAAAATTCTCAGCACGATTCCATTTAATTTTGTGTTTGCTTTCAATTACGAATATATCACTGCTTCAATCTCTACCACTGTACTGTAACCGTTTCGAATCATTGTTTTTCCCGAATGATACATTTATTGCCAAAGCGAACATTAATACTAACTAGAGGTCCCGCAGTAGCCGAAATTCGACTATAATTAATTGGAATTGTAAGTTTGTACACTATTCTGATTGTATTTTATACTTCTATAATCACAAATTTCGCCAAGGCTACACTATAAAAAAATATTAATAAAGTCAAACAATATTTAATCTGTTCTCAATTTGATCACAGACGTCAAGAACAAAAGTTTGAAAATAAATAGTATGCATGCGTGTGTGCGTCAAATACATGGTATGTAGTGTGTGTAATGTTTTCTTTATTGATTTAACTATTATTTATGCATTATTTAAAAAAAAAATTAGCATTGTGCACTTCTTCTCTATATTCTCTATAAGTGTAAAAAATTTCATACTTCTCCGTTAGCGCAATTTTCGTAAAAAGGAATACAAAGTTTTTGCTTCACGTATTAATATATAGATAATAATAATAATAATAATAAATAAATAAATATTTACTAACAGTCACGCCACGTTAACTGGTCCCGTGATAAGTTCGTAAAGAACTTGTGTTACAGGTACCAGATAACGGAAATAAATATAAGATTTTTATTAGACACATACGCATGTTTAATATACATCCATAACCCTGGAAAAGACATTTATATTTATCGTACAAATATCTTCCCTTGGCGGGATTCGAACCTGCGACCCCCTTGTGTAGTGACCATGTCACTGACCACTACACCAGACGGCCGTTAAAATAGTGAAGAACTCATCCAGATATTTAATTTTGTTTTTCAAAATGTGACTTGTCATGAATTTGTCTTTAGAGAAAATTCACGAGTGGTCGTAACCTCTTTGAGAAATATAGTGAGGTATTAATGCATAATATGTGCAGTGGTTTGAGTTAGCTTTTAAAACAGATACCACATTTTCCATTTAAATACGCAAGATCTGAAGACGTGTTCACGAATGACTTACACATTAGAAAACTTCGTGGTTTAAACCTACGGTATTCCTTGATGTCGTTTGAAGGATTATTTGTGGTCAGATTAACATAGCTTTACAGTATTAGTAAAATTTAGAATTATTATACTCTATTCCAATTACGAAGTCCCTTTTGACACTTCTTAGAACGTAAGTAGCGGTTTTAGCGGTAGGCAGCGGCTTGGCTCTGCCCTTGGCATTGCTGAAGTCTATGGGCGACGGTAACCACTCACCATCAGGTGGGCCGTATGCTCGTCTGCCTACAAAGGTAATAAAAAAAAAAAACGTGACTTTTCACTTTTCGCATAATTTGAAATATAAATCATTTTTTGTTCGTGGTCGTAAATCATCATTTAAAAATACACAATCAATCTAAATCATTATACAATTAATTCACACACACAATAATTTTTTTTTTTTAAGAGATTTTATGACCTGGTAACTAAGACCTTTAAGTCATGTCTTATTTTACTTTATTTTCTTAATTTTATGAAAAATGATAATATGGAGTGAAATGAAATGAAGATGATTAATTTGAGACATTAATCAACTGGGATGAAATTTAATGAAATGAGATGATATGGGATAAAATATAATCGCAGTAAAATGGTGGTCATTTACTGAGATTTTTTCAGTGGATTTTTTGGAGGAACCCGAGAAGTTACGTCCAGCAGCTTTGTTTCATTTTCCCACATTTGTGCACTTTCACAGATATTAAACAGTTAATAAACCACCATTATTACACATTTAAACCTGAAGAAACACTAAATAGACAAAATAAAACAAATCACACAACTTCACTCCTCGCGTTCCCGCCAAAAAGTACACACACACAATAACATAATAATTACATCTGTCAAACGGGACTTCGTAATAGGAAACAGAGTATAGGAGAATTTAATTGCAATATATGTAAGTCTCTTAGTCACAAGTGATCTAAGTTACAAAAGACGTCACCAGCTCTGTGTGTCCCATCTCTATTTGAATCGATAAAATCTCCACCAAAGCAAACCACAAAACCCGCATCGATTACAAGTAATTATTTGATTACCGAATTGACTTCAATTTGTATACCAATTTAATTAGATCTCTCACGCTGTTAAAATAACATTATTAACCAATTAATTCGGACAATGTCATCACAACGCCTTCAGACGAGGAAATTAACGAATTCAATAAATGGGTCTCATTTCCTGTCTGTGCAGAGTGGGGTCCATTCAATTCTGGTCCGTTTTCGACGTGTAGGTACGCCAACGTGATGAGAACACATAATTGTAGCTGGATTTTAATGTGCTGTGACAAATATGAATGCTGATTTAATTGATTGTTTTATTTATTTTATTTATTTATTACATTTCATGTAAAATTTACATTGGCGGACTTAATGCCTAAGGCATCCTCTACCAGTCAACAAAAGGTAGTGCAGAGTAAATAGTGTTAGGTGCAACGAAATTTATATTAAGTTACAAATACATACATACATACATTACGGTAAGCAGCGGCTTGGCTCTGCCCCTGGGATTGCTGACGTCCATGAGCAACGGTAACCACTCACTCAGGTGGGCCGTATGCTGGTCTGCCTATACGACAATAAAAAAAAAATACGCATAAAACTCTGATTTACATTTAAATATAAACATAGAATGAATAAAGACTTTCCAAGTTAATGTTATTAAGGATGGTTACTCTATTGACGTAATTAACACGATGCTAATGCATGTTGCTTGTTCAACCTTAAATTTGGTATTAATTACATATAAATAATAATGAATTACATTCCAAATTGCCAAATATCGTTAACGGTAACTTCAAAAAAAGTACTGACCTTAGACTTTTGCAGCTATTTACTTTAGACACACTATTATATAACGGGTTCTCATCACGATGTGAATGTATAATGAGGTCTCCGATATAATTTACCCATGCTTACAACACGCTGATATGTCCCGGAGCCATTATGGGTGAAAATTGTGGTGGAGGTCCCGTTAAATAATAATGAGAGTAGTAATTTGTGGCGGTAGCCATCATAGAACAGAAGACATTTGACGGATACCTGAATTTCGAACGGCATTTTCAATTGAAGTTTGCATATGTAGATATGTATAGTTATTTAAGCAAGCTTCGAATAACATTTGGACCGTCTGTCTACCGAATGGGTGAAATTGTTCCTTCCCTTTCTCGTTATTTCTAAAGAAGATGAAATGAGCTTCTAAAGGAAGCAGTGAGATCCGGCCCCAGATACAAAGAGATACGGAACGGACAAAGAAGATGGTCTGACAATCTCATTAACATCACCCACCTTGAGATTGATTGATTTTTTTTTGGTTAGATGGGTGGACGAGGTCACAGCCCACCTGGTGTTAAGTGGTTACTAGAGCCCATAGACATCTACAACGTAAATGCGCCACCCACCTTGAGATATAAGTATAATGCCCCAACCTTCAAACCGAAACGCACCACTGCTTCACGGCGGAAATAGGCAGGGTGGTGGTACCTACCCGTACCCTAACACCAGAAAACAGTCAACAAGCAGATACGTTTGTACAATAGGCGGTCTTATCGCTAAAAGCGATTTCTTCGAGACAACCGTTTAATTACCCGAAATTCTGGACAGATAAAGATACAGCAGGTACGTTACGGTGTACTATTAATAAAACATTATTAAAGAAAATACATACATACAATAAATAGATATATATCGGACTCACAAGAGGTACTACCACCAGTATATGCATTACGGTAATAATTGTTATGAAAATGTTTTATATAAAACATGTGATTAATTTGTGGAAAAAGTTCACTGGTTAGTTATACTAAGCTAAACTCTCCCGCCTCTTCGCTTCGTGCGTCGATATCCCCAGAATTGAGGGTCGTGTAATATAACCTAAATATTTAATTGAAA